ACACAACGATACCAATTATGCTTTTCTTGATCCTTTGCGTGTTTCTGTGTCATATGTGATTGGTTGTTGTCAGTCCAGGCTCCTTTGCGCTGAAAAGCAGAGGAATGACCTGCACGACTAGGAGTCAACAAGGCAGATCTTACATGCTGCCGCCTTGCCATACGTAGCTCATCTAAACTAGTCAAATCCTCCCAGGAGGCCAACCATGACTGCGAATCGATCCAGTTCATCCGATGACGCGACGAAGATGAGTCGAAAGGATTTGAGGCGTTGACGTCGAGTTTGAGCCAAGGATTTTCAATTCGCTGTCAAGAGGATGGGATCTGGTCCCAGTGAAATCGTTCAGATGCTAGGATGGAGGCGAGAGGGCTGAGGGCTTACGTGAATCCTGATTTCCGTCAACAAGGCGAATTTTGCACATTGGCTCTCTGTGCAGATAATTGGACCTGGCATACGTAGACTGCTTACGACACTTGTACGACGTGAACGACAGCAAGCCACGGATATACGGGACAGGATGATTGGCAAGGCAAACTCGGCGATATTGCATTATGCACTCCGCCCGAGACATCACATCACGTCTCCCTTGCGGCCAAATCACTCTCTGAACAACGCAACGGCGTAACCTCATCCTTCTTACCATCTCAACATCATCATGCCTTGTATCCACTCAGCGAAACCCTACACGGATATCCGTCCGTGGGATGCGCAGCGCCCGCCTCCACCATGAACACCCTCTGCCCGCCAAGGCCGCTTGTGTCAAGCTTCCGCTCCCCGTCAATCTCAGCAAACGAGTCCCGAATCTCAAACTCCCTGATGATGCAGGCCAGGACCGCCCGCGCCTCCACCATGACGAGCTGCTGCCCGACGCACAGCCGTGACCCATACTCAAAGATGCGCCAGCCGCCCCGCGGGGGGTAGAGCTCGTCCGCGGGGTCCGTCACGAGCCACCGCTCCGGGATGAACTCGTCCGGCTTTACCCAGTACCTCGGGTTTCGCCCGATGACCCAGTGGAGCATCGTGATTGCGATCCCCTCCGTCGGGAACAGGTTCCCCTCGGCGTCCTTGAGGACGAGGTCCGCGGACCCCTGGCGGATGCCGCCCGCCGGCGGGAACAGGCGGAGCGACTCCTTGATACAGGCGTTCGTGTAGGGCAGCGAGTTGAGCAGACTGGGATTCTCGACGATCTTGGCCGGCGCGGAGGCCACGTCGGCGCCAAACACCTCGTCGTGCTCCGCGCGCACCCTCGCGAGGACGTCCGGGCGGGAGTAGATGTTGTGGAAGCAGTAGACGATGGTGGCCGCCGACGAGTCGTAGCCCGCGAAGAAGAACATGCGCATGTTGCGCGTCATGATGCGGAGGTAGTCCGCGTCCAGCGCCGTGCGCCCCGCGTTCTGCGGCTGCGCGAGCCAGTTCTCGATGGCGCTGTCGAGGACGGACTGGAAGCGCTCCGTCTTGTCGCGGTTGTGCGCCTTGTTCTCGCGGAGGACGCGGAAGCGGGCGGCGATCTGCTCCTTGATGTGGTTGTCTAGGACGCGGCCGCCGTTCCAGGTGCGGAAGAGAGTGACGGGGTCGATGCGCGACAGCAGGTTCTCGGGCTTGTGGGCAGTGAACTTGAGCCGCAGCTGGCCCTTCATCGCCTCGGCGAGCGGGTGTTTCTGCTTCTGCGTGTCGAGGCGCACGTTGAGCAGGACCTCGCCGATGATGTCGGTGATGAGGTCCAGCGCGAGGGGCTCCAGGCGGAACATGTCTCCCCTGCGGGCCTGTTCGCGCAGCTTCTCGGCGAAGACGCGGATGCCGTCGACAATGATGGGGACCTCGGCGGTGATGTTCTGATTGCTGAAGCTGGGACTGAACAGATTCTGGAGGTGCTTCCAGGGGCGGCCGTTGGTGTCGAACTGGCTCGGGCCGCCGGTGATGGGGTGGAACCAGCCGGTGAGCATGGGCGGCTTCTGAGAGCCGACGACCGGGTGGTAGACGGCCTGGTGGGCCATGTCCGGGTCCGTGATGAGGAGCATCGGGTCGGCCATCGGCCAGGTGTCCATGTAGAAGGCGCCGTTGGGGAAGGGCTCGGCCAGCTTGGCCAGGACGTAGTTTGCGTGCACTCCGGGCGGCAGGCTGTCAAAGGCCTTTTTGGCCTCGAGGAGGTTGCCAAAGAGGAAGTTGTGAGGAACCACGGGCTGGGCATGACGGTCAGTTCGGATGACGACGAAGATGACGACGGGAGACGGCTCACCAGGCCCTGCTTCTTCAGATCGGCCATCTTGCCGCGGTGCTTCGTCAGCAGCTTGAAAAAGTACAGCACGGAGCCACCGACGACGACCAGCATGGCCGCTGCGATGGACCTCACGGACAATAGGAGTAGGCCATTCATTGTGAGGTTCGTGAGAAGGTCGCGTGCTGTTATGATGTCTGGCAGAGTTCACGGAACAGTGTGGCAACGGCCCTGATCTCGCTGTGAGAGGTTGCCGTTGACCGCGATATCTCTCAATTGAACGGTCGAGGTCAACGGGCGGCGGTTGAGCCGGCAAAATTGAGTTGCTTCAATTTCTGGCCGACTCCTTTGTCCACCGCTTACCGAAATCTTGGATGAACCTCTCAATCCTACTCCGTAGGTCCTACGGCCCAAACGCTGAGGAGAGCGAGTCGGGCCCATAATCAAAGGTTCAGGGGTGGTCTCGAAGCGACTAATTGCGCTAGGGCATCCTGCGGCAATGTCATTTCACTTCCCCGCTTGCGACTAAGGTGCCTGTCAAGCGAAACTCTGATTTTTCTTATCTGCTGATGCCCCTGAGGCTTCTTCATCTTTTGCCTGGTTTTGTGGTGGTATCTGAAAATGCCTCCGCGATGTTTCCTGGCTTGGTGTGTAACTAACTCATGACTCCGATGAACGCCAGTGCGCCCGCCTTGATGTGCTGTGCTCGCTTTTCCCGTACCACAATCTGAACCCGAACGCCTGCTATTGATGCCTCTCCAACAAGGACCTTGGTCAAATTTGACCGCTCATCATTTGACCAAGACATGAATTTCTCCAAGAATTATGCTTTTGCCGATCCGAATCGTACTGGCTGTCCTCTCATTCGGCAACGTTGCAGTCACCTGGGGACTGCGCCGGCCAGGCCAACAGCCACGGAGGACGTCAAGAACTCCGCGCTATTGTACACTTGCTTACAGTTTGGAGGCGGCGGTTCCTTGGAGAAACCGTGGCTGTACGCTTCTCCAAGAATGCCGACGGTCGTCGACGCAGCCTCTGGGTCGTCGAGGCGGATGACGATCAGCTTCTCGGTGCGGGACATGGCCCAAATCTCGTCGCCCGGTCTGGTGTCGTGGGGGACGAGAACGAGGGCGGCGTGGTCCTGGGTCAACGCCAGCCGGCGAGTCTTGTCCTTGACGAAGATATCAAGGAAGGGAATGTCCGTTTCAGTGACGGACGCCATCGGGCCGCTGCCGGACACCGCATCAGTGAGCAGGTTCCTGTCGTCGAGGGCCCAGAACTGCCGGAAACCAGCGGGGTCTTCGCCGGCGCTGATGGCCTTCTCAAAGTCGTCCAATCCGCTTAGACCGTTGAGGACGGGGCTGAGAAGCCTGCTGAATGACTGGATGATCTCGTCTCTGGTGAAGCCTTGGGGATACCTGTCGGTGGTCGTCTTGTTCAGGGTGTCTCCTGAAAGCGTCCGCATGAGGGTGTTCATGCGGTCCTCCTCTGACGGACTTGGAGCACGGACTTTGTAGACGAGGGCGAGGAGCTTGACGAGGGGGAGAAGTTGCTTCATGTAGAACAGCTGTTCAGAGACGTCGACGATGGTGTCGACATAGGTGCCGCCCAGCTGGCCCTGTTCTGGTTGCAGGTCGCCGATGGGCATGCTGTCGTCTGCTGAGAGCTTCATGGTGCCAAGTCAAAAAGGGGTACGGATGGATGGATGGATGACTTTCCAAGCGAGAAGAAAAAGAGAAAGCGGCGGCTCTTGAGACATATATCCCCAGAGCCAAGGCTGTCGTCATGTCCGTACCCGCGGGGTCATAATGGGCTTATGTGGGCACAGGCTGGGGTTTCCGGGTTGCCGGTAGTCACGTTGCAGGGATGGCGAGGAGATGATACCTGACGGACGCGCTTGCGCTTGCTTGTTGGTCTTGAATTGCGTAAACGGGCAGAGGAGATTTCTACAAGTGAACAGGATGTGCAGACGGGCTGGACCCGGTGCCGGGACTGACGGGGCCAAGGGGGGCGGCCAAGAGGGCGACGATGTCATGCGCTGGAGACGGTTGAAAGCTTGACTCCCGGGTAGCGCTGCACTTTTCATCCCCTAACTATGAAGTGCCCAGGTAGGTAGTCTGGGTATCTAGTCAGGTCGCAAGAGTTCGTCTTCAAAGTCAGACATGATCGACGTTGGGCGGCCGGCAACGGAGCAAGGGAGGCCATGGAAAGGCACAGGCGACGGATAGGAGACGAGACGGCCGAGTGTGTGAGAGGAGCAATACAAGATTTAGATTTGGAGGGGGATCAAAATCTGGCAGAGATGACGTCGCGCCGGGGCCCACAGCGGACGGGTCCTGGTGCGTTAGTGCCACGAGTGCTAAAGGGGGCAGCAGCAGGGCACGGTGATTAACGTACTGCGTACTTAGGTGGTTAAGGTACCTACCTGCCTAAGGTACCCCCCGGCTTGCTTCATATTCAGGGTCCCGTCGTCCAATGTCGCCTCGACCTCGCACAGGACCGTTCGTTGCCTGCTGACCGTTGAACCAATCTCAGGTCAGCGTCATCATGGATGTCAGCATCTTACTACCGTCCTGGCGAGTCGGCACCCGTGATTGTGCGGCGATGCTGACGCCCTGCGAGATACCTTACCGTCCCGATGCCGTCTCGATCGAGCCGTCTTCTCCCTTGCAGCCAGCACCTGATGGATTACCTACCCATTGAGACGGCCAAGCTGAACCTCTCGTAAACAAGACACCACCGTCGGCAGCACTAGGCACGATCGGCTCCATCAAACACACCCATAATGGTCAAGGTCCTTATCATCATGGCCGACTATGGCCATGATCCCACAGGTCAGCACCCATGTCACTGGCATGATTCCCGTGTCTCCCCTCCTCTCCGTCCCCTCCTCATCCCGCCCGTGTCCACCACACACACACGCATCCATCTCCACAGTCTCCTCCGTCCCAAGGCCGCTTCCCTGCCGCACCTCACCACCACAAAACCCCTCCACTACCGGATCTGCGTCACGAACCGCAAAGCTAATCTGTGTCATGCTCCCACAGAGGTCGCCGTCCCCTACCACGCCTTCAAAGATGCTGCCTTCGACGTGAACTTTGCCACCGAAACGGGCAAAACCCCCCGATGCGATAGCAGGATGCTCGAGGGCCTCTCCCAGAAGCTGCTGGTGCGCACCCCGATCTCTTCTTTTCGATTTACGACCCGTGCTTCATCCCTCGTGCCGGACCATACTGTCACAAAACACAAGCAATTGCATTAAGCGCGCGCAGATCTTGCATGTCGCCAATCTGCCCTGGACTCCGGCCTGCTGCTGCCGTCCAATGACTTGTCCACCCGAGCTGACCTCGCTACTGCTCGACAGGGCGCCGCCGCCTCGGTCATGAAGCTGTACGAGTCCATGATGGAATCTGCGGAAATGCAGCAGCCGCTGTCGTGGACCGCCCCGGGCTTCTCCCTCGACGAATTTGACGTCGTGCATATCCCCGGCGGCCACGACAAAGATGTGCGCCAGCTCATGGACAATGCCGTCGTCCAGAAGCTGTTCGCCGACTACTTTCCTAAGACGAAGAAGCCCGGCAAGAAAGTCGTGGGCGCCATCTGTCATGGGCCGCTGGTGCTCTGCAACGCCAAGGGAGATGATGGAAACAGCGTTCTATACCACTGCACAACCACGGCGCTTCCTGCGTGCTTCGAGTCGGTGGCCTTTCACGGGACTAGGCTATTTCTAGGCGACTACTACAAGACCTACGGTGCTGGCAGCGAGAATGTCGAGACTTCGGTTGGTTATTTGGATCAGATGCACATGCACAACTCTAACGGTTCAACAGATGAAAAAGGTGCTGAAAGACCCCAGCCAGTTCAAGTCCAGTTGGGTCCCAAACCGGCCGTACGTATATTTTCGTCCTGACTTGCCCTTCGCTTACAGCTTCTAGGTTTGTGATCGAGGACACAGAGTACAATTACATCAGTGCGCGGTTCCCTCCTGATGCGGCCAAATATTCCGAGATGATGGTGAACCTGGCCCATCTCGTTCAGAGTTACGAGAGTGATGAGTCGCGCACGCAGTAGCCTGTTGGTTCCTTGGTTCTCACGCTGGAAACTTTTGCCGTTGGAGCTGCAATCAAGGTACTGTGATGCGAACGGCATGATGGCTTCAACAACGTTTCGTTTGTCCGTCGAGGCTACAGCCGCGTACAGAGGGAGTTTCAAGAGGAAAAGGGTACGCAAGCCTCTCAATGCAACATATCAGTAATCTAGCCGTACAGTGATGTCATTGAGCCCGTCGGTCTCGTCAAAGTATGGGCAGACAGAGGCTCCGGGAACCGACTCAAGCTTAAGTGTATCAAGCATTATGCCTACATTCCAACTCGGGCGACGTCACCTAAGGGTTCATCCGCCTGGCGAGCATATTTACTTTGAAATCTCCACAATCTTCCTCAGAGCTTCGTCAACTCCTCTGACAACGACGGATGGCTCCTGACCGATGGTGCTACCCAGAGCATCGACCCAGCCAATGCCGGCGCGGTCGATCCAGGCTGACTTCCATCCTGCAGCTCTCGCTCCAAGCGCATCAAAAGGATTTGAACTGATAAGCCAGATGGCGGACTTTTGGTTAGACATACCCACCTTCCTCGCAAAGTGTTCATAGGTCTTTGGCGAGGGTTTGAAGCACTGAACCTCTTCAACAGTAATCAACCGGGTGGGTTCAAATACATGGGTCATGCGGGACAGGTCCGGCGACGTCTTCATTGAGGTGCCCACCATGTCGTTGGTTCCGTTTGAGAAGACATACGCATCTATCGTGGGGGTGTTTTGGACAATCTCTAAGGCGTCCTTGATCTCTGGGAACGTCTGGAGACCATTGTAGGCATCCATGAGACGCTCTTCGTATTCTTTGGATAAAACGAGCTTCTTCTCAGCAACGGCATGCTGCAATGCTGCACGCGTAAGCTCAGAGAATGAGCGGTACATTCCTAATTGTGTCAGCTAAAGAGTCGTCGTTCACATATACTCAAACAAACCCATGCTGTTGATTCGCCATGTGTACTCGAGCTGGTACCTCCGCCACTGCGCAGCCAGCTCTTTGGCGCTCTCCTCTCCGTACATCTGGGCGAGTTCGGTTGCAATCGATTCTGTCGACAGCAGCGTGCCGTAAAGGTCGAACGCGACGACCACTTTCTTGCTTTTTGAAGCCATGCTTTCCTTTCATTAAGTCAAGTATCGTGATGAAATACTGGCGAGTTCGCCAGATGGGACGTCGTCTGAACACTTTAGGGAGTTCGTGACGACCCGCTCACTAAATCGCGGGGGAACGGGGCGTCTGAGCACTTTAAACCCCCCCGCCTGCAGTGACTGCCGTCCAGCCCTAAAGCTCACTAAGAACAGAAAGTCATGGCAACGTCGAATCAACGTCATCGATACTTTTCCATCACCTCACCCCCAAGCCCTCAACCTCGGCCAGCAGGATGAAAAAATCCGATGAAGAAACCACTCAGTTCGAGACGTTCAGAGATTACCTCTCTGCCGCCATTGTTGAAAAGGTCACAAAGCCAGCCTCCAAACCCAAGAAGCGCGCCAAAAAGACGAAATCGTCGCCACCAACAACCAAACCACAACATGGGACAGACGACACCCCGGTCGATGCGGACGACATGATCGACTTCAGCTCCTACCTTGCCTCTGAAGCCTTCGAGTCCTTTCCAGAAGACTTGAAAGCTCTCTCCCACGTCACATACACCGCAGACCCGGCTCTTCAATCACGCCTCTCTCTGCCCTTGACCGGCTCCGACGTGGCGGAACTCCTCCCCACGCTCTCACCCGACGTATCAGAGTCCCTGGTGGCATACAACATCATCGACCCAGACCGCCAGGGGGCGCACGAGTTCCTCGCGCCGGTACTGACCGAGTACGTCGCCGCCCTGACGACAGCGCCGCCGCCGCCGCGCTCGACGAGGGACCAGGTCGACGGGTGCGAGCTGTGCGGCCGCGACTGGATCGGCCTGACGTACCACCATCTCATCCCGCGCATGGTCCACGACAAGGTCGTCAAGCGGGGATGGCACCGCGAGGACGAGCTGAACAACGTGGCATGGCTGTGCCGGCTCTGTCATTCCTTCGTGCATCGTTTCGCGGGACATGAGGATCTGGCGAGGCACTACTACACCGTGGAGTTGTTGCTGGAGCAGGACGAGGTGCTTAAGTTTGCACAGTACGCCAGCAGAGTGCGTTGGAAGGGAAGGTAGGATGTCAGGTGGTTTGCAAATGAATCTACGAGAGTCCTCCAGTCTGCGACGATTCCAAAGGCCTCGATCGATCAGTCCCAACTCTGCCCAGCTTCCTCCAGGCCGAATGCCGAGCCCCCCCCCCTGCGGCGAGCCTCCTTTGCCCCTTCCGATCAGCGGCTCGTCTCTCCTCTCAAAGATTGCCCGCGGGCTGCCCATTTTTTTAGCAGCTTTCTGGCGCATACTTGAGGCAGATCTTCGTCTTCTTGTTACCGCAGCAATGGTGCTGAACACAGCCCTCATCCGGTTCGCAGTTGTCCGAGGATTTGCACGTCTTGGCCTTCTTGCAATCCAGATTCTGGACGCAGATGTTTGGGTCTTTATTGACTGCACCCTTGAGGCAAGCACAGCGCGGGCCCTTCTTCTGCCCTTTTTTGCAGGGGAAGGTGTTGACCTTGTTGAATGGGCAGATGGCCGCCATCTCGCAAGTGACGTCCACCGTCACGGTTGCGGTCGTGGTTGTGGTTGTGGGCACGATGGCCGGTTCCAGGGTTGTCACGGTTGGAGTGATTGCCCAGCAGTTGCATACAGAGGAGTATTCGGACGTGCCAGCGCACACTTTGGTGGCATAGTAGGGCAAGACGCTGGGGAAAATCGTGACGGGAGCGCGAGGGGCAATGGGGTTGACCAGAGGTTCCGCAACGGCAAATCTCTTTTCGGCTTGCCCATTGGTGGTGTATTTGGTAACGGTTGTAGGGGAGGTTTTGGTGATGGTGGTGGTGCTGTTTGTGTAAGTAAAGAGCGTCCGTCAGGAGGGGCCTCTTACGATGGATCAGGGCTGACGGTGGCACGCATGAAGTCAGAGCAGTCCCCTATGCGGATTGAAACTTCGGGCTTCACGTGAGGTCCGAAGCCAGTGACGGCCCTGGCACAGTTATTTCCATGGCAAGTGGCCGTGGCGAGGCGAGTGAACGCGAAGATGGTCGTGGCGAAGGCAGTCTTCATGTTGGCAAAATGATTTGAGCTGGGGCGGATGAGCCTGAGAGGATGCAGTGATTTCGAGATAACATCCAACCATCTTTATAGAAACCCAAAGGTAGCCAAGAGCTAGATGCCATCTTGTAGGCAGACGTTGAAGTCTGTACGTTGAGGGATTCAGCTGGAGGCGGTGAGCCCAGCATCGCTCGGAAGAAGTTGCCTTTGAGAAGTTCTCCAGCTGGCGTGTCTCGGAACATGTCTTGACAAGATATATCTCATAGGCCTGTGTATTTTCATCGATGTAAGACGGCCTTTGAGAAACGTCGTGCAGCCATGTCGAGCTGTCAAATCGAGCGGTCTGGGGCTATGACAGATCGTGGAGCAAGGTCAACGGAGATCCGCATCTAGATGGATGCACGTGGCGAGTTTGTGCTTGATGTAACTGAAGGGTCCAGTCAGATTGGGTTACTGTTGGGGAACTCATCTTTCCGTGGACGCACAAGTACTGACCGTCTGACGTCGCTCTCAGCTCCACGTCTGCCAGAGGCAAGAGCTGAACGTCCAATCATTACCAAGTTCATTAGTCGGGATAATCTTGCCGGGGGATGTGGTCGCTTGTACTGGCTCTGCTGTAGATGCAAGGACCTAGATTTCTCTTATGCTCTCCACTGTGGCATAGAACGCTGGTGGTGACATCAGGGTGAATGAGGTGCAGTCACCTCGGTGAGGCTCGGTGGCTCGGTCAAGAATGGCCACTACCGAGACTAGCCCTGACGATCCTGGCCCTGCGAATGCCTGTCCACCCTAAGGCATCCTGATCGATCCAGGGTCCCACATCGCCTCGGCGACAGCCCACTTTAGATTGACTCAAAGCTCTCTCATTCCAGGGCTGAATGGGTTTTTTTTTCGCACAAGCTCCCAACGGAACGCCTCTGGACCACTGAAGGCACGGTGGTGGGTGGGCTCCGTCGAGAGCTCCATTCAGCCACATGAGATTCGCAACCGGCGGCCCGTGGTCTGATTGTCATTCGTCCCTGATACACGTGTGTATCGCCTCAGATATCCTCAAGGTCTTGATGACTCCTATTTCGGCCCAATCAACGCCAATTTCGCCAACACGCGACAAGGCCATGCCCCCCCTTTTCCAAGCCCTCGACTGCGGTCGGTGAAGATTGCGCGAAGCATGTCCGTCGCCCCCTTGGATTGGTCACCAGTCTCTCCCACCTGCTTCTCGTCTTATCGCTAAAAAAAAGTGACACATTGATCCTTGAAACGTCCCCATCAAAGAGGCGTTCAGGCCGGGTGGCCCACATGAAAATGGATCTCACCGATCGGGCCCTTTCTGTTTACATCTGCAATTTTCGGGCCGTTGCATCTAGGTGTGAGACTTCGATAAGGCGAAAACCCTTATTTCTGCAGAGTTCAACCCTTTTTCATTAATTCTTCCCTCTTCACTTCCCACCGACTTTTCGAAAACACAACAAAAAAGAGACCGCAAACCTTTCCATCGACACCAAGCAAATAACGACGCCCACCATGTACAAACCCAAAGCAAGCAGACATCCCATGATTTACAGCAAGGAGAATGAGTGGGCCATCATCGACGACGAAGAGGAGGAGGAGAAGGAGAGGCAGCGGCTGAGGCAGGCCGAGCGCCTCAAGGTCGGATGCTTCGTCGCCGCCCTCACTGTCGTTCTCGTGCCCACGATCTGCGGTTTCGTGTGGTGTTGCCGCCGCTCTGCCCGATGAGGCTGCATCGTAGGTTATTTTTGTTGGTTTCTCGTTGGGTCCACTAAGCTAACATTCAACCCAGGCGAATCGCGGCCCACTGAAGAAGACATCTTTTGAGGATCGCAGTGTTCATGATTAAATTCTACGACTACTATGTATGAATCGAACCACGCACAAGCTGCGCAAGACGACGACAACGGTAATGCTTGAGATCGCCACCCATCCGGGTTAGCGAGAGCCGCCGCCCTACTTTTCCGACTTCTCATCGAGGGAAGCTTCGCGCAGCCCACGTTTCCACTTCCATCTCGTCGCGGACCTCGTCTTCTCGTTCTTGGCATGCGCATGTTCAATCGCAGCCACGCCCGCGTCAAGCCCGAGATGGGCGACCCCCTTGACGACCTCTTTCGGACCCCCCGTGTCCGCCACCACGGCATCCGCGCACATCCCGGCCCCCTCGAAGGCGACGGCGCCGAGCGTCACGCCCACCGCCATCGGGATCAGCACATCTCCGCGCTTCGTCTTGACCGTGAGCCCGCGCTCGACAGCGTGTTGCTCGAGGATCCGCCGCTTCCTCCGCGCGTTGCGGATGCGGGCCGCGTCGTACGGGACCATCAGCCAGGTCAGACCGGCCGTGGCGGCGCCCGCAGCGGTGTGCAGCGCGGCCCCCGTCGAGCCGCTTGCTAACTGGCGGACATAATGTGCTCTTCTGGCCAGGAGGGCTTCGTCGGTCATTTGGTAGCATTTCAGGTTGTAGGCTTCTGGGTCGAAGTGCATTTTGTGGTTGTACGTCTAGCGGAATGGTTCAACAGGATTTTGTGGGTTAGGAAGTTGCAGTAATCGCTGGCTGGCAAGGCAGGCCAAGCATCAAATATACAGCACCCAACACCACACATAGTTTACACTGAGGCGAAGCCTGGGAGAGGCTGAGAGGTCATCCAAAGAACGGATGATGGCAGATAGAGCACATGAAAGCCAAAACATACCAGCAATTCCGACAAAGTTTCGTCGCGGGATGGGAAACGGGACGAGGTGACTGCGCCATGCTTCTTTACGCCGACCCGCCGGCTCCGATGCCGTGGCCGAGAGCACCGAGACTGTGGATGTCCGTGCTCCGGCAGCGGCCGGTGGCAAGACCCCGAAAAACAGGGACCAGGCCCGCGGGGGAGCGGAGTTTCGGAGTCCAGACACAGCAACTCATCCCATCATCTGATCTCATGCAAAACGAAAAGCCTTCATCTTTATTAACCATCCATACTCGGCCGGATGTCCAAAGGAGCCGATCCTGACTAGTCTCGAAGTCTACAATCATTAAACCGTAACATGTCCCTTTCCGCAAGAGAGTTACAGTCATCTTGCCCCTTTTTTTCGTCTGAACTCCAAAAACACAAAAATCATCACACATCATTACAAAGATCTGAGCTCGACATCCCTTCGGTACGTCCAGGAGTGTGCGTCAGCGTATACCTGCTTGTACCCGAGGACGCCCTCGACGAGGGAGAGCACGATTGTCGGCGTGACGGTGAAGGTGCCGCTCCTGTTCTCGGCGACCAGGACCAGCCGGTCGATGATGGCGCCAAGACCAAAGGCGCACTGGTGGAGCTTGACCTCGACCGCGGGTGGCTTTTCGATGTATGTTAGCAGCCGTCCCTAAGCTGATGTTTTCTTGACGGACATACCTTTGTGCTGAGCTGGTGGTTCACGCGGCGCCACTTCTTAAAGTACTCGGACAAGAACTTGAGAGTGCCGCTGTGGCTACACTGCACCTCGATCTCGTGCGCGCTGCGGGCGTACACGAACAAGTGGTAGGGCGGCTTGCTGAGAAAATCGTCAGGGCGGGGCAGGGAATCTGCGCGGGGGAGGATGTCCGGCCCGGTCGTCTTCGCGGAGGTCTGCCTGTCGTTCAGAGAGAGGTGGCTCGCCCGCACGTCCAACCCCACGTCGGCCCACTCGTCGCCCGACATCCGCGGGGAAATGGTGTACGACGGCGGGAGGTGGTGCTTGTCGGAGAAGCACTCCTTGATCTCGCCCTGGAAGAGGGGGAAGAGCTCTGCGGGGTGGGTGAGCTGGCGTCTCGGCAGGGCAATGATGAAGCCGCCTCGCTCGTCTGACCACGTCGATGATGCCTGGTCGTCGCCGGAAACCTGGCCGCCTTAGATTTCATAGTCGATGGAAACGATAATTTAAGCTTACCTCTACAAAGAGGCGGAGGTTGATATACGTGACCTTGAGCTTCTCCAGCAGGCTCTCGGTCCAGTCCGCGTTCTTGTCGTCGTCGAGGAGCTCTGTCGCGGCCTTGGTCCAGGTCTCAACAGTGCCGGCCACGGCGGCGACCAAATCGCCCTTGTCAGAGTAGACGGTGTCCAGCTCAGCCAACAAAAGTTGCCAGTCTGGCTCGACGTCAACATCGAGACCGAGGACGTTCTTCAGCTCTTTGAGCGCCTTTTGGAGCTGGCTCTCCTCATTTGTCCAGTGGTCGCGGATGGCGACCTTGGCCTTGAGTGGTCTGTAGATCGTGTTAGTCGCTTGGTTGCGGGTGGGTGGGTCCTAGGAAGGCATCGCGGAATACTCACAAACTAGACATGGTGAATAGCGTAGTGTTGTCAATGGCTGTATGTTGTGAATGTTCTGATGATGACAAGAGTCTCTCTTCTCTGCTCAACGGGGAGTTGTCGACGGTTGATATTGACTTCTCGAGACTTCGCAGTGACAGGGGTTCGCCATCTCGTGTCAGTCCACAATCCACCCCAGACGCCAAGATGAGCGGACAGACCCAGCTGAAGGCGTGGCGTCAGGTCTCCTGCCAGGCAACGAGGCGGAGCCGACGCAAAATGACACACAAGAGCCGTTGAAGCGTTGTGCAACTGCCATGGCTGGACCAGATTGCATGATCGAGGCAGCCTGACCATCGGCGATCAGCGGGTGGGGACTCGCGCGGGGAATGGTGCGTTGCTGCGAACATGCCATTCTGAGGGCCATATTTGGTGTCAAAGCAGGTTGCACCGGGTTTCAGCTCTTCGACAACACCCCCGGCACCTGAGCCGGGCCAAGCCGGGGCCGCGGGCCTTTACGGGCCTCAGCTGAGCGTTCGTACCATCGCCGCGGTCCGGTCCGACATGCAGTGAGCGCAGTGGGCAGAGCCGGAATGATGTCACTGACTCACACTTCGTACCACCGAGAAAATCGAAAGGTCCCGTGACGAGGTCACGATGCGACGCAAATATCTTCGTCACTTGGACGTGGTCATTTTCGTGTCGTGTGTTGATGAAATCGCCAACTTTGCTGCCTGAAGACTTCAGCACAATTAGCGCACTCAACCACCCCCACAGCTGGGTGCGCCCTAGACTTGAACCCCTGAAAGCTGCCTCTAGCCTCTGCGCCACCACTAAGCTTCACCTTCATCATGTCCACATGTGGAAAAGACCGCGGGAATTTCGCAGCGACTGCACCACGAGGCTGGTCGCTAGGCTGGCCGCTCGCGTAGCTGTCAAAGAGGTAGGGCGAGATCTAGGTTCAAAGCAGCTTAACTCGGTCGCCCAGGCTGGGGTGAGAACTGTATCGCAGAGCTTGCGATGGAGCTCGCGGCCGCCGTTGACGGGCCAAGATCAGTGTTGGAGAAATGATCGTCAAGAGCTGAAAAAAGAGGCTGAATGGGAGAGGAGATGGAGTGCCTTGAGCTAGACCTCGATTGTTGACAACGAGAGCGGGAATGTCAGGATAAAAGGCTGCTTCATCACCGCCGTTCTCTTCCAGACAGCAGCAACTCATCTGATCCGGCTCATCAGAAGAATAAATCTGAAAATGTCTCGTCTTCCCGCTGCTGAGAAATTGCCCTTGGCGCTCCGCAAGAACAGTATGTGATGGCTCCCAGCTTCAACTCGCACCGCTAACAGCCAAGTCCGCGATGACTGGGAGAGCAAGAAAGAAGATCTCCAGAAGGAGCTCTCAGACGTCCTTGGCGCCGAGTGGACGTTGAACGACATCAACCCGAACGAGCTCTACCCGTACGCAGGTGATGGCTTCGCCAAGCAGTCTCTCGGCAGCTGTATAGCTCAGTGAGTTGCCTACGGTCGAATCATGCATCACCCTCTGACACTCTACAGGTACATTACATCCGCCATATACAACCTCAAGTCCTATACAGAGAACTACGGCGAGGACAGCAAGAACGAGATCAACTCAATCTGCCACGCCCGATCCCTCATCGTTGATCTCGACGACCGTCCCAAGGACAAGCGTGTCTCGTACTGCGGTGTGACGGTCAAGGACGGCAAGCTGGCCCTAGTCTTCTCCGAGGCCAACCTCGGCACCAACGTCGACTATGCCATTGACTCGCAAGGTCTACTGAAGGCCCTCAACGAGGCCCCGCCCGCCCCCGGGGCCCACGCAGCCATGAGCTACGCCGCGCGCACCTCTATCAGGCAGGAGTACGACGAGAAGATCGAGGAGACCCGCAAGAAGCTGGGCGACATGCTCGAGAAGCCCGACATCGTCCTCGTGCCCAATTTCGAGACCAACTTTGCCAAGATCATGGAGGAGAGCAAGAAGAAGAAGAGCGAGGTCAGAGATGACTGGGAGAGCAACCTGGGCAATTTCACGCGGATGTACTTTGAGGGGTTGGTGTACCAGATGGGATACCAGAAGTTTGACGAGGACGACCTTTTGAGGGAGGGTTTCAATGAGGCCGTCGACAAGGGCGAGATTCACTTTCGCATCGTGGACAAGATGTCGTACGCGACGTACGGCGAGGTCGTCGTTGAGGACGGGGCTGTCTATGTCCAGGTAAGTTGCCTGCGTGCGTTTTCAGGGGTAATCGTACTAACCAATGCCTAGACTCAAGCCAAGAACTTTGGAACAAACGTCGACTATGCTGCTGAGAAGATGTTGGATCAGCTTTGAGCTGTGTTTGGCGATGGACCGAACTCATCGGCATGGAATTAAAAAATAAACGTGTACATATATCAAATAATCACTTCGCCCTGTGACACCACCGCCTCCCGCTCAAGAGATGACTGCACATTTCGAGTTCCAGGAAAGCCCCGAGTAGACCCCCCACGACCATACCTCCCGCATCGCCAGCAGTGACGACGCCCATACTGAACTCTCTGTCGTTGGCGTCTCGAGTCTCTTCCACAATTCTCACCAAAACATTGATGTACACCAGCCCGCTCGACAGCCCCGCCGCAAATGCTAGTGCGAACGAAAGATTCGTCGACACAAGAAAGACGGCGTTGAGGAAGGCGAGTATGGATACCGCAGTCAAAACAGCCAGAGGTGCCCTGAAATTTCGAAGAGGGTAAAAGGCGACCGAAGACCGAGCCAACAACGTCCCGAGGTGGAGGGACACGCCGTAAGTCGCCGCAAAACGGGAAAAGGTCCCAAAGACAGATCCGTCCAGTGTCCTCGTGACCCCCTGCTGCAGAAAAAGTAACAAAGACACTGCGAAGAGTGGCAGCATATTCGAACTCGCCAGGCCATGAAGAATCTGCACTCTAGCCCTAATGGAAATCGAACCAGACCTTCGCCTATGCTGACCGGCTTCCAAACACGATTGCCTCTCTTCGCGATCCCTATCCTGTCTACCAGCCCATTTTGTCAGGTTTTGCGGCAAGATCGCAAAGTGCGCAAACACCAACAGAGCAACGAGATATGAAACCCCGCCTGTCGCGCTTCTCAGGACCTTGCCCGCCTTGTGCGCCAGGACAAACGGCCACACGGCGTTGCTGACCAGGCCGGCGCCGGTCCCGAAGCCCCACCCCGCAAGCGCGTGCAGGCCGGAATGCCCGACCATCCCGAGACAGGACACCTCCATCACGGATGCCGACACGGACGCTAGCACCGACATGGCAATTCGCACCGGCGGCAGCACATTCGGCGGCGTGTCATCGGCGACCTTTTTGGCAACGAGCCAGCATGCGGCGACGACGAGAGGCCGTATGCGGCATGGTATGCGGTGGATGACGAAGGAGAGCGACAGCTTCACCGCGACACAGGGCAGAAGCTCGATGAGCGTGACAACGGCGCGGGGGTACGGGATGATGAGGTAGTTCGCGGCGTATATAATGGCCGGGAGGATGGTGTTGGCCAGCCCTATGGACAAAGCATCAATCAGTGACAGGATCGAAATGAGGTGCCATTGAGATAAAACTTACCCAGGCATGCGAACCCCAAAAATGTCCGAACCTCGTCAAACGATGTCTTGCTTTTCGGCGCCATCACCAATCGAGGCAGATGGCTTCGGTTTCGGATGGTGTCAGACTCAAGGTTCAAGAGCGCACACTCGCACGGCACACATGCCCAACGACACGCCCGCAGCCGAGAGCGAGACACGGCCTCGTTCAAAAAGAAAAACAACTCCCAAGGAATCGCGTCCCCTGCGACAAGGCAGCCCTTCAATTGAAACGATACCCGTCCAACCACGTGCAGTCTGAAGCAACCGCCAAGCATGGATGAGCGGTTCGCGGGGGCCCTGTGCGGGCGAATCGAATCCACCACGTGGGGAGGGTCTGCCGATTGATAGGGACGGGAATGGGCCGGTCGCAATTACATACGACGACGAGAACCAGCGATTGCTGACGACAGTTGATGAAGTCGTCGTAATTGAGCTGTTGCGCAAGGCCCCTGGAATACTTACTTCTATCAGGATGACTGAAATTGGGGGATTTGCGTCTGCGGCCGACGGTTCACCGCCATGTTTGTCAACACCGGCGCAATGATGCGAGACTCTCGGGTTTTTGGCTGGATCGCAGGCTCAGAGCCCAAGACTGCGTGGCCCTCCGTCTCTTTAGACGCCGAGAATCAGCATGGCCGTCGAAAAGCGCCGCGGTTCGCTCGAGCGCGTGCTTCTTTTCTGAAGGTTGTCCTACCAATCGGCATCCTAATGTGTGTCACGGCAGCTCTTCTGACGAGTCTGGTGCGTTTGTCCTCTTTGTGAGAGAGACCCTTGCTAACGCTGTACAGTTCCCATCAGAGGCCGTGTACCTCGTCAGTGTGTTCAACTCGAAAAGAGTCATTTCCACGGCTCAGCTGGGAAGTCTCAAAGCACCCGTCAATGTAGATACCGGCGGCTCTCGACGGCTGAGGCTGTTCATGCCCGCCGATGGGCCGAATATCAACCTGTGCAAAACCACCATGTCTGCTGTGGCGCTTGGCTACCCCATGCCCACCCTCCTCAACTGGAACGGGGAGTTCAACAGGCCCGACTGGCACTTTGCAGGCTCGCACATTGCCAAGTTGGAGTCTCTGCTCGCTGTCATTGACGCCCTCTACGAGGAAGACGACGGCGTGAACGAGAACGACCTGGTCCTCCTCGTCGATGCGTACGACGTTTGGTTTCAGCTCCCTCCGTCAGTTCTCATCGAACGTTTCCACCGCCTCAACCGCCACGCAGACGCCCGCGTGGAGAAACAGTGGGAAGAGCATGGCTTCAAAGAGGATTTCCCCATCCCGCCTCCCAAACAGAACATCATCGTCACCACCGCGAAAGACTGCCAACCAGACTGGGAATCAGGGTCTAGCCCCCGGTATGAGTATTGGCCGGATTCTCCCTTGCCCGCGGATTTCTACGGCGAGGGTACAGACGAGATCCTCCCGTACGTATTCGACTCCGCGAGGAAGTACAAAAAGATCCGGCCGCGATGCATCAACAGCGGCATGATCATGGGAAAAATCGGCGCCTTGAGAGGAGCACTGCAAAGCGCCAAGAAAAAGGTTGAAAAGGCTGCCATGGACGGTCGGCAGCTATGGAGTGACCAGGCCCTCTTCGCCGAAGTCATTGGAGACCGGGAGATGTGGCGGTCCTGGATGAGAGGTCTAGCTTCGACGTGGAACGGAACCGCGTCCCACGACCAGCCGAGAGATATGCCACCTCATGTCCGGGACATCGCGAACAGTGCACTGGAGGGGAAGAAGTTTGAGTTCGGTATTGGGCTAGACTATGAGTTTGCCACGATCCCACCAACATGCTCCTCGGAAGACGATGGCTTCTTCGTCAGGCTCGACGACACCGCGATGGTGAAAAAAGAGTCGGAAAAGGCGGGCGTGACCGGCGGCGTCAGAGTCAAGGGCATCCCGCCAGAACTGAAAGACGCCGAAGGACCGCTGCCAGGACTCGGCTCGAGTTGGGGAAAGGTGCCTCTGTACACCGACTTCTTCTTCGGCACCACGCCCGTTGGAATTCATCACAACGCCTACGTCTTTGGTCTCAAACCGTGGAGGCTAGAACATTGGTGGAACATGACTTGGTATTATCCTCATCTTCGACAGCTCGTCACGAAAGCGCTGCGCTCCAATAGCAAGCTCACACCGTTGACAAGGCTGCCGCTGCGAGAAGACGACGTGAATGAGATGGTATACTGGGCTTCAGACAATGACGAAAAGACGGCCAAGGTTTTTGACGGATCGAACCAGACGCATGCGTCAATCAGCTGGGACGGCTTATGCCAGAAGGGAGACACCAAATGGCATGACGTTCTCTTTGGGGATCATGATGGGCCGTTGGTTATTTGAGTGTTGAAGATTGATTTTCTACTGTTAATACCCATTTCTCTAGTAATGAAGCGCCGCCAAACTAAAACCAAGTGGAAGGGTATCATTCTATACGAACTGCGTCATCAAGACCAAACTCCAATGTATGCTGCCAACCATCAATGGAACCGTCCTACAGCGTGCTGTTTCTAACGATGCCATTCTCCGACGTCACGAATGGCGGCAGCTCAGGGGGGCTGGCGCCGTTACGGTAGAGCCACAGTCTCGAGAGATCCTTGACCCTGACTGTCCTCTTCCTGTTGCGGCCTTTGAGGCGTTCTCCGTGGAACTCGACCTCGTTAGCAAAGTCTCGGCCCAGGTAAGACACCTCAAAGGCCTCACGGGCGTTTTGCCCAGCATCTCCCTGCCTCCCGACCTGGATCTCACTCTCCATAAACTCGTTTGTATCTGCGGCGCCAATATATTGACCCGTCTCTGCGTCCTTCTCCAGAGGAAACATGCCGTCCAGGTAGTGCTGGCAAAATTGATGACCTCCACGCTCCGAAGCCCTCACAAACAAACGTCCGATGAAACGCGGCATGCTGTGATCTGCGGTCAGAGAGGTGCAAAAGTGCAAAACGCCCCAGATCGCCACGAAGTCGGTCGAGTGGGCGTAGTGTTCGACGTGGCCGATGGCACGGTCGAGGGAGGCGGTGGAAGACCGGGAAGAGGACAAGGACGAGGATTCTTTGGATAAGGTCGGTGTACGAACGTGTCCGTTTTCGGTGCCGTTGGAGGTACCCGAAGCTCGTCGTCGAAGACCAGTGGCTACCGGAGATATGAGGCTTCCGTTCGGTTCGATCTGAGCCATCGTGGTCGTGGTCAAGGTCATGGCGGCCGGGTTACGTTGCGCCAGGTTCTGAGACGCGACGTGGCGATGTGGGTTGTTGAAATGGTTCGCAGCGTTGCCAAAGGTGTAGACCTCAAGCTTGGCAAGAAGATCCTGGGGCAGCTCCTGGAGAAGCCAGTCGAGGACGAGACCGCCTTCGATGCCGCCCTGGGAGTGCAGAATAAAAACCACCTTGGAGTACTTTGGATTGTACAGCGTCTCTTTGACAATACGATAGCACATCCGTACGTCGTAGGTGGCGTAGCCAAGATTTCGCTGGATCAGGCACTCGACGACGTCGAAAAGAATGCCGGAGGTTTGGTTGTGGATGCCGAGAATCGGGCGCTTAAAGGTGAGGGCCAGGCGGTTGAGGTTGTTCTTCATCCAGTGGTCGCTGCATCTGGTTAGCCGCCGTTTGCAGGTTAGTTGGTAGATCACTTACCCAACGGCGACGCCGTTCAGAAAGATCCATTGCTCATGAGCATGCTCAGGCAGCTCTGGAGCGTACTTGGGATCCGACGTGTATGTGAGAGTTGGGCCGTTGAGGCAGAGACAGAGGAGATAGTTGACGGCGAAGAAGGCACCCAACGCGAGGATGTCGATCCACAACGGGAAAAAGATGGTCATGGGGAGTGCCAGAATGAAGCCGATCTGTAGCACACATAGCAGGAGATGCATGCTCACGCAGAAGAGGTTCTGCCTCGTAAAGGCCAGCTCGTCAAGGGCGCCGGAGTCGGACGGGGTGATTGGCCAGACGATCCATGGAAGTGCCCAAATGTACCGAAAGAAGTAGTAAATGTCGTAGGCCAGCAGCTTCCAGGGAAAGTCCGTGTAGGAGTAGTTGATGACGGAGCTCCCACCGACCTGGGAGCCCAAGAACTTTGTCGAACCCATCCTCTCCTTGAGCAACTCGTCGCGTTTCTGGTGTCGTGCCTTGTGCCTAGCAGACAACTTCTCTCCCAACCATGGGATGCAAAAGATTCCCCCACCCATGACGACGAGACCCGCGCAGGAGGAATTTATAGCAGAGCAAGGGGTTAACAAAAAGTGGCAGAAAGGGTATGTGATCAAGTGACCGGTCCACCGTATGGGGTTTGTGTCATTCGCAGAGGACGAAGGACGGGTGCTCACGCGGCATTATATTCCCCATGGGCAGAAGTAGATGGAGGGCACGCCGGGTGAGACACCAGTAAACACCAACCACCAAGCCCGAGATCCTAGCACCCGGCGGCAGACTGGGGAAAGAAGGCCAGCTTCCAAAAAAGAGACGATGCAGGCGCAGGGCTGAGCTGGTCGCCTTTGCTGGGGATTATCGACGGCGCCGCCCTTCGGCTGGTCACTCGACCGGGGCGCCCACCAATGAGGGGCCATGGTCAGCAGCTAGCGATGATGTGGTAGGACCCAAAGGGGGGTCTGGGGGCGCCACCCGCTGCCGCTGCCTGCCCCGTCGTTAACGCATCTGGTGCGGATAGGTTGCTCTTGATCGCCAAAGGTGCCTTGTTGGGTGCAAGTACGAGCGAGGCATGCAGTCAGATCTGGGCAGTGCAGGGGATGAGGATAGAGATGGCTGCGAGGCTCCGAGATTGTCTTGTGCACCGACAAGAGGCCAATTGCGAGTGACGGGCTGTGGTTGCGAACGGGAAGGCCGTATGCCCCGTGTCTGAGGTGCATATGTTGGTGTCTTGAGGCGGTATTGAGGCCATCTCGGTTGGGGCTTGTTCGTACACAAGACGCAGCTCCATCTGTCGTCATAACTGAGGTGACGTTGCGCGTCCAGCCTATCGGCACGCCTAACCCAGCAGAGCCATCCTCCCAAAATAAAGACTGAGGAATTGCGGTGCCTTGCCGTGCTTACCACAGAACCTTTGAAAACAGGTGTCACCGAAGAATGAATGTAGAATTTGTGGGAGCTGAAACGCAGCCTTACCTCGTCTTGGTTGCTCGCCGGCTTAAGGCAAAACAAGTCAACGGCGAGATGAGGTTGAGCCGCCTAGGCGCAGACGACGTTGGCTGAACGCAGATATGTTGCAGCCTGATTCCCCATTACTCAATACTGAGTGTCTGCCTGGAGTCTCGGCAGCATCAGTTGTCTCATCATGGAATTCTGCGCATGTGCTGTGCGCAAGTCAGCGCGAGCATCTTGGGCTGAGTGCGCGGGTGGGGCCGTCGAGCCTCGTGAGATGGCAGAAGCTGGACAGAACTTGAGAACCCGATTTTGGTGCTGTTCTGGTACCCCCGAAGCATGGATTCCGACACCCGGGCCTCTTCAGGGGTACCTATTTTGGCCGCTCTAGAAAATATGCTGCAAAAAAACCGACGACCTGACGAGACGAACTCGACGTGGTCCGTGCGCCAGCAACGGGTTGTTTGGTGGGGTGCATTTGTTGACCAAACATTGGTCTCGACTCTCACCAGTGAAGTCAGAGTCCAAAGCTGACAACTTCGAATTGGCTATTCCAGACAACACACAACCGCGGCCAAAGCCTACTACTGCCCGCCATGTCCATGCTATCAATTCACCTAGAGCAAATAGCTCTGTCGTGCGAAGGCATCGACTCTCTCCCGTACGCATCCTACCCCTCCTTCCGCGATTCCCACTGACGCGCCTCAGATTTCCACCTCCCAAAATCTTTACAAACGCTATGCTCTACAACAGCGACATCACCTCTCTGATCCGCGACACCGAAGCCCACGAACGCGCCCTCTTCTCCGTCCCACCTCCCCCAGCTCCCGCCACCTCCCAGAACCCAGACCCGAAGCCCAACAACCGCCGCCAGACCGTCTTTAACGTCGCTTCGGGTGAGGTCACGACCGGCCCTCCGGCAACCCGTGGAGGTGGCGGAGGCGGGCCTCGCAGACACACCGCCGTATCTGCCGTTTTGGGAGGCGATCTACACGACCAGCTACGCCGCGGCGAGCGTCAGGCAGCTAGCAAGGGCGGTGACGTCGACGTCGAAGTCCTGCTGAAGGGAGCGACGAAGCTCTGTGGTGTTTACGCACTGCCCGGAGCTCTGGAGAGGATCCCGCAGCTGAGGAACCGTTATGCACACCAGACCAACACGCTGGCATACTACGAGGCCAAGGTCGCCGAGCACCAGGCCGCGCTGGAGAGGATGAACAAGGACCACTGGATGGGCAACGAAGAGGAGCCAGAAGACGACGAAGACGAAGAAGACGAGGACATGATGACCGAGGAGGAATACCGGGCCGAGGAAGAGCTAGTGCGCGAACTCGACAGGAAGAAGCGCGAGCTGCAGCAGCGGCTGCGCGCGATGGACAAGGACTTAGGCGGGCTATTGAACATGTGAACGGATTGGCACTTTACGAGGCTACGACCATGATACCCAATGCGAGTTCAGAAATTATTTTTACATGTTTTGTACAGAATTGCTGGGTGTCCTAACACGACAGACCGTCTTGCCCGCTGCCGCCCTTGCCACCCTCCCTCGCTGCGACGAGCGTCTCCAAAAACTCGCCAACATCCTGCGCGCCGCCAATCTCGTACTTGTCGTTGATGACAAAGTGCGGCACGCCTCTCACGCCCATCCGGTACGCATCCTCAACCTGCCTGTCCACTTCCTCGCCTCCCTTGCCCTCCTCGAGCCACTTCTTGACCTCTTCCTTCGCCAGTCCACCCCGGGCGGCAGAGTCCACAATCGTGTCCCAGCTGGTGATGTCGCCACCCTCCTCAAAGTAGCTCTTCATGATCGAATTCACTACGGCGTTCTCGACCTCGGGGCCCTTGGTCTTGGCCAGCTGTATCGCGCGGTGGGCGTCGCGCGTGTGTCCGACCTTGCCGTCAAACGTAAAGTTGAAGCCCTCCGCGGCGCCGAGCTTCTTCATGCGCGCGTGCATCATCTCAAGCCTGTCGGCGCCGAAGCGCGCCGCCATGCGCTCGTTGACGGGAACGCCCTTCTTGGGTGCCGTCGGGTCCAGGTAGTACGCCTGCCATGAGACGTTGAACTTGTCTTCCTTGCCTGCAGGGTACGTCTTTTGGTACAGGTCAATCGCCCTGTTGAGACGGGCTTTGCCGAGGTAGCACTATTTCTTGTTAGCTAGTGAGTATGTAAGTGAGGGTTGGCGGGGCTTACAAAGGGGCAGACTGGGTCTGAAATGACTTTGATGTTGAAATTGGCCATTTTGCTCACTTGCCGTGCCGCGTTCATTCGATATTGCCAAAAATTGATGCCAATCTTTGTAAAGTCGAGATCTTGGCCACACCAACATTCAGTTAGGGATGACGACCGTAAAATGGTATTTATGATGACCCGGCCTCGGGCCTGAGCTCAGATACGGGCGGGACTCCGCCAGGTGCCGATACCGACCTGATTACCAATCACTTCGGGGCGCGCTCCGGACGGAATCTTTTCTTGGCCGGCGGGACGGTTCCTCATCAATGGATGCCCCGCCATTATTCAGCCCCAGGTGCCGCCGTGGCGGCGTTGGAATTAGATTCCGATCTAGTTCGGCACTTGATTCAGTGGATTTGCCAGGGGGCCTTTTTACTTCGTTGCCGCAGACCCTGACTCGAAGCTTCTTTGTGGTGCCGACGGCAACTCTGCTCTACCTGGAGTGTGACATCGTTCCACATGAATTGTGACAGTTTCGCTAGATTTACGACGAGCAACGACAACGATATGCGAGTAATTGGTCAGTATATATGTGAGCAACTGCCCACAACCGTTTGTTTATCACGTGTATTTGCAAGGCACCGTGACTGCTATCTGAAAGTCAAGGACTGGACGCAACCATCCCCCGCAATGCCTAAGAACTCGGGTATCATCTAAACCTTCACCTCTTAGTCAACAAAGTAGCGTTCAGTCGCCTCTCTCAACCTCTCGTGATTACGGGAGCGTCGAGCTTCGTAACTCCCCCGCGGATGTCTCCGTCGGTCGTCTCTTCTCCACCGCGAAGGGTGCATGCCGTCCGCGCTTGAGCCGCCACGTTCTGAGCTGGGGCTTTGAGACCGCCGGCGCTTCGGAATGACGTCTGGATATTGTACAGCGCGGTCCCAATTCTCCAACGACGTATATGGACTCCGAAGCCAAGCTCTAAGTTCGTGGAGTAGCAGCCGAGTGTTCTCACGTCCCAGAAATTCCTGGATCAACTCCTCCGCCTGGCCCATGCTGCCCTGCATGTCCACGGTCTTCAAAATCGCAACAATATATTCCAGAAGAAACTCGGCATTGTTGGCTCTGCGACGCCGAACAGGGTCAGCCTCTGGCGTGCGCGCATCGTTATCTGGGGACAGGAACTCGAAAACCTGAAGTTCGCGCCGGAGGAATGTCCGAGCACGGGACACCAACTCAGAGTCAGATGCAAACATCTGTGGTGTCAGGTCTCGGTATCTAGAGATTCGGTTCGAGCCGACATGGAGCGAATACAGTTGGCGGCGATACACGTCTCGTCGGCGCGCAATCGTCTCATCCTGAGAAGGAACAAATGTTCGATACGAGGAGCGGGCATTCTGCGGTCGTGGTCGCCTGGGTCGTACTTGGGAGTAGTATCGCCTCTCTTGCTGGGCCGCAGCGGCGTTTCCTGCCGTTTTGGCACCCGCCGGCGCCGGTGCAGGCTTAAACGTTTTCCACTGCTTCTGATCGTCGCTAAAGTCATAACGGACTTCTTTGATCTCGGTCTTGCACAGAGGACATGCAGCTTGTTGTTCCAGCCATGTTACCAGACAGAGGTAGTCGAAGTTTCGGTGGTGGCAGGGTTGCGCTTCGCAGCCTTCGGTGATTTGGTCGAGGCAGATGACGCAACAATCGTCGGCCGATGCGCACCGCTCGGGTTCCGTTGGCCGTGATGAGATCTCCTGCAGCGTGGTTTGCAGAACAGCGGACTGAAGATCTCGAGAGCTCGAGTTGTCGCTCTTCGCTGCTTCGGGGGACATGCCAGTAGCACAAAGCACAGTTCAACGCGGGAGAAATTATGGCAAAGTAAGGTGATGATCGATGGACGGCGGCTAGGCCTAGGAAGCTGTTAGTAAGCTGAGGCCAGTTGCCCGATAAGATAAGAACTCAATGTGGGGCTCGCATCTGCCATTCGGGGACGCGTTTAGTGGTTTGACAGTCGCGTCTCGACCGCGTTTTCCCTCCACTGCGAATCCACTGGTACATCAGTACAGTACCTGCACATTTCATCAAAACAGACAGCTGCACGTTGAATTACACCTCTTCAATGACGTATACGGCCGGCTGCTAGCATTGCTTCGACATGGACGACCAGACAAAGGCAGATTACGAGTCGCAATCCCAAAAACTACGCGCTGAACTCAAGAGCTGGGAAACCTCGTGGGCCAAGTCCCATGACGGCAAGAAGCCGGGAAGAGACGATATCAAGCGCAATGCTGACATCGGTATGGTTCAGGAGAGCGAAAAAAGGTTCACATACTGATGATTGAGCAGCACAAAAATATAAGCAATACAACAAAGTACGCGACATCCTATCTGGAAAGGTTGCACCGCCCACAAAAGAAGAGCCGAAAGCAAAGAGAAAGGAGAACACTGCTCCTGTAACGACTCCGTCCAAACGACACAAACATGCCGAAACCCCCTCGAAAAGAAGATCGATACCCGATAGCGCGAACCTCAACAGCACTCCCTCGATTTCAAAGACCTTGTTCAGCCCTGTTGCTCCGAGATCAATCGGCCCAACGCCGCAGCGTGATGGTCGGGTTCTCGGACTGTTTGACCTCATGGTCGAACGAGAACTCGGCACACCGTCGAGGAAGAACGGGTCTCTCAATACAACTGCCGACTCGAGACCGATGACGACGCCGAGAAAGCGTGCCACGCCCATGGACGAAGAGAAACTCGGGCGAACCCCAATGTCAACAAGCAAGAGACAGATGTTGGATAGTTTCATGACGCCGCTCAAAAACAAGGAAGGGGCCCAGGTGGTAGATGCAAAGACACCGACAACAGTTTCGAAGCTTCAGTTTAGCACGCCGTCTTTTCTCAAGAGACACACCCAACCACCTCCCGCCGAAAGCACCGACTTCGCCGCCCCACCGCTGCGTTTACCCCGGAAACCCATGGTGCGCGGCCTCAGTGCCATTGTGGCCAGTCTTAGGAAAGTCGAGGAGGAGCAGCTTGACGATGATTTGGAGGCTCTGCGAGAAGCTGAAGGTGCAGAGCCGCAGTCCAAGGCTCCCCCGAAACCAAAAGAAGACTTGCTTGCTGCGGATAGTCAGGTGCATCTGCCGCTGGGCGGCTTTGACGATGAGGGGATGTACGATAGTGTCGATGAGGAGCAGGTGGGCCGGGACGGGAAGCCTTTGAAGATATTCAAGAAGAAGGGCCAGAAGCGTACGACCAGACGCGTCAATATGAAGCCGATTCAAGTCAAGAGACCGTCGGCTCCTGTTGAGGGCCGCGATGAGGACGACGAGATCGTCCCGGAAACGCAGGCTCATGGAGCTGACGAAGATTTCGATGAGCTTGGCGACGGGGGATCGGGCTCAGACTTTGAAGAAGCAGCTCCCAAAGCTAGCAGCGCGAAGAAAACGGAAAAGGTGGGAACGGTCAAGAAGGCTGTCAGGAAGGTGAACGAAATGGCCCACACCAACTTCCGAAGATTAAAGTTGAAAAACCATGGCGCAAAAGGAGGACCGGGATACAACAGCAGGTTCAGAAGACGGCGCTGATTTGGTCACACATGCATGGCACGGCGTTATGGCAAGCGATACCGCAGTCATTGGTATTAATGAGGTAATGCCCAATATACAACTTTATCATGGCTCATACGCAATTTGCCTCCCCTGGGTATAACAAACATGAACAGCCCTTGTCCCTCTTCATCCAAGTACACGACTTCTCAGGCGAGACAGGAGGACAAAAAGGTAGAACGTCGCAAAGTCACAGCTGATCGATACCATGAACCATGACAGACCGGCCGAGAAAACGACGCGATTCACGAGGAAGCGGTCTTCATCGGGCATGTCTGCGGGTATCTCGCCATCCTTCTCAGTCAGCCAGTCGTTCTCGCTCCAGGTGTCTTCATCCCGTTCAACTGGGCAGAGTTCCAGCTCCATGAACCTGGTAATCAGGTCTTGCCCACGATCAATCCGTTGCTGTATGCGGGTTAGACAGTGCTGCCGCCGCTCATCTTTGACAACTGGCATGATTCCTTCCCCCTTTCGAACGACCGGAGGCACAGAGAACTCAATATTTTGTCGATATCCTTGCGTCCTGTTCTCGATCTCGGCCAGCAGCCACACTACCGCCATGTGGTCTTTGAACAGCGCCCACATCCAGCACACGGCCATGGCGATTTGTAGCAACATGTTCCTGACCACCTCAGGCGTTTCAAGCCCGTGGAACTGCGCACCGCAACAGTTCTTCAGGGCTTGCTGTCGGTTGAGAATCTCACGGTAAGTCCGGGGGCGCGGCGGCATGGCTCTGTAAAGGTGAGGGTTCCATTTTCTCGCCCTCGCTTCCAGCAGGTTCTCGGTATGCCACCTCTCGTCCCAAAAGGATCTCCAGAAATCAGCGAAGGTCTCGGCGATCGTCTGGGAGAACGGGAAAGCCTGAAACAGCCTGGCTTTCCAGAAAGACGACCAGTCTGTCGCCAGAACAACGTGGAGGAAGAAACCAGCCACGTCGCTGGCGAGAAAGTCGGGCATCAGGCGCGGTGGATGAAGAATACCCATGATGTCGAACTCCTTGATGCGACGACCCAGCCGTGAGGCCGCTGGGAGCCTCGACGGCTTCGGGGGTGGTGTCGTGCTCATAATCTGGATTTTGGCAGTGCACTCTTGAGACTCGCTCACTCCATCCCTGCCCTGCCGCGACAGAAGCGCGGGAATTGTGCCTTTTTGATGGCCACCATTACTCACGCACCGTAAGCCACGGGACGTCTCGAAACAAAAACAAGCCAAAACGCGCTGACCGCGAGAGATGTGCTGGCACGTCTCCATAAGCGCCAATTATTGTTCTCGGAGAAGTCCCGACCTGGGTGTTTAAGCGGATGCTAAGGCGTCTGATGTAAGACGGCACCCACATGTAAGCACTGCCCAGCGCAAACGAGCCTCTAATGTTTTAATTGATCCAGCAAGAGCCGGCCGTCCGGGTAAGACATGGCAGGATTAGCTGATCTTCAGCCCTTTGGAACCTCTTGACCTAATCGGGTATGCACACACGCCTCTTTGATGCGTTCGGTCCGCGTTGGCGGTATCAGGTGTCGTCGCTCTCACAACAACTCCTTTGTAAGTTATAATTGTTGTTGATGATTCTTAACCTTGGGCTGACGCTGGAACTATTTACGGTTGCAAAACTTGGAATTCGTCTACGCCACTTCTTGCGGGGTTTCTATCGCGGTTACGAAGGGGGTCTTTTCTGCCACGAGCGCTTCGCTTGTCGCGCCAAGCCCACCTGCTTGCAAAAGTTCTTCCTGAGCCTTCGCATTCAGTCTCACCCACATTTTCCTCCTCAATTCCAACCCGTCGAGGAATACCTGGAACCATGAGGGGTCAAACGGCGGCAACCGTCTTCCGACGCTATTCTCGGGCTCGCCCGCCAGCGCCCGCAGAGTCTCAAAGTACTCCTCGAAGTGCGGGTGCACCAGTGGAAACTTGTCACCCATTTCCGCAACGCGATCGGCCTCCCACTTGGCCTGCTCTTCCGCCGGTGGCAGTCTCGCCCTGCCGGAAAGCACGCGCGCCGCCAGGACGGCTTGCCACTCAAAAATTTTGAACGTCAGGCCCGCTGCCACGGCGCCGATGAACAGGAGCGTCGGGTCGCGGTGGTAGATGACGTGCTGGTAAAGCCCCGTCACGCGGTTGTTACGAACCTCGACGGATGGCAGGAAGGGCAGCGTCCAGGTGAAGCCCGTCGCGAAGATGATGCTGTCGACGTCTGAGACCGACGTGCCGTCTATGAAATGCACCGTCCGGCCCTCGATGCGTGAGATTGTGGCCTGTCGGGATATCTTGGGGTGGTAAAAGGCGCCGTCGCCAAAATAGAGATTGGCCTTGCGCCCGTTCACGACGGAGTAGATGGGGAGTTTTGCTGTGTTGATGAGGTCAACTGAAATGTCGGCTCCTGAGACGGAGGCGCCGACAACCACGACGCGCTGAGCATGTCAGCTACGGTTTGCACATCGATGACAGAGCGACGAACCTTTCCACGGAAATCTTCTCTTCCGCGGTAGTGTTTGCTGTGGATGACACTGCCTGGGCGAGCTCTCTCAAACTCCTCGAGGCCTTCAATCTTGGGGACGTAGGGGACCCAGTAGTGTCCCGTCGCAACGACAACCGCGTCGAACCATTCAACCCACCACTCGTCCGTGTCTTTGCCCTCCTTTCTTAGGACAACCTTCCACTCATCGCCCACCCTCTCGGCAAGCTCAACGGTGGTGTTATAAGACACAAAGCCCTCATACTCGTTGACAATGCGCCGGACGTAATCTCTCATGACGGTCCAGTGACGAAATGGCGTTGAAGGGCCGTGCAGGGCGATTGAGTTGGGTGTCCGCTCATCTGAGATGGGAGCGTCCGAGAAGGACATGGGGATTGCGTCGACATTGGTCTCTAGGTACGGGTATATGCCGGACTCGGTGAAGCGCGGGGCCTTCTGTTTCGGGGTCTGCGCCGGAAGAGACTCCGGGATCGGGCTGGGTCTGTCTGCGGTGCGGTCGGCGAGGGAGGGGAAGTCGGTGAGGTGAGGCGGCGGTTCCTCGTCGCCAATCCTGCGGGTGTCAGTGCATGCGTGCCGACATCATGGCCCGTCCCGTCCATCCAGTCTGGTTCATCCCATTCTGCCGGTCTCATCTCATCTCGCAGAGATGATCCAATCATGTTTATGCTACAATGAACGATGCCAAATAGTTCAAGCGACATACCCATCCGGGTTCTCGTTTCGAGCATCTTGCACCCCGGTCTTTGCTTAGGGTCTCCAACCATCAACATCAAGATGTTCTCGAAGCGACTTGATTTGAGCGCAGCTGACCCACAGCGCGACACACAAAGTCCCGGAGCCGGAGGTTCAATGATAGAAAATACTCACCAGCATCCGCCGCTCGCCTCCCGGCGCTCAAACACACGAATGATGTCGAAAGCCTTCTCCTTTGCTAGCGCATCAATGGCAATGGCCCCCGCCGGCCCCGCGCCGATGACTCCGACTCTCTTGATTGCGCCCATGGCATACGCACGCGACTAGACAGAACACAAGAGAGAATGAAGGACAGAGAGGAGAAACAAGATCTCGGCAAGTCTAGCCAGACAGATAAGCGCGCCTAAACCTCGCCGCGCGCATGCAGTGCGAGTCTGGGTGCTCTTTTTAAAATGTCCCCCGACAGCGTGGGTTCGGCCCAAGGGACCAGGGAGCAGGGGTCCCACTGTTGAAGACAGCCGCGACCGCCCAATCATGCCGCCGCAAACCGCCTGACGGGGCAGTCTTACAGGGATACAGGGGGCCGAAGCTATGGCGCCATGTGTGGGCAGAAGGTGCTTCTCCGTGCGATTGATCATCTTAGCGTCCGATGGCGTTATCCCGCGATGCGCAGACGCAAACGCTGTCGCAAACCAAACCCCATCAAAGGACCGGAGGGCTCGACGGAGGTCGCTCCGAGGCGGGGTCCCGTCTTCGGAGGGGAAGACCCGACCCGGGTGGGTAAGGTGAGATCGGAGCGGGACGGCCATCAAGGTTCGCAAAGTCGCCAACATTTAGGTCTTGGACCCTGGAATCCGTAGTTTGCGATAAGCTGAAAGATGGGGGAGTTGACGCAGATGGCAGGGATGACATGGGCAATGACTGGGATCGTGGTAATCTGGGAGAGAACCTGGATGGCCGGCTTGTAGGATATGAACAAAATGCGTTCCCTCAGCTGTTTCTACCATCGCCACGAACGTCCACAAGCTAGAAAAAATGGACTCGAAGACGGATGAGGCGATGGTGTGTGACACACCAACCGATCAGTCGGTGGTGGCCGCCGACGACAAGGTGGAATGGGATGCCAGCCAGGAGCAGAGAGCGAAGAGGAAGTAAGTAGCAATAATGATCTTTTCAAGAAACACTGAGTTGACTTTGGCTTCTAGGATCGATATGACTGTCCTCCCCCTTCTGGTCCTCGGACTTCTCATGTTCCAACTCGACCGCATGAACCTCGCAAGCGCTCTCACTGCCGGATTCGCCAACAATATCGACGTGAGCCAGGACACCATTAACTTGGGAAACCAGCTCATGTTCATGGGCACTGTCGTTCTAGAAATACCATGCAATTTGCTGCTGCAACGGGTGAGTCGGACTGCCTTCTGCAATGCTAATGCCTGGCGACTAATCACGCCTCCGCCCTCAGTTCGGTCCACGAAAATGGATCTCTCTTCAGGTGTTGCTCTTCGGCCTTGTCGGAACTCTCCAAGTCCTCGTCAAGAATCGCGCCGGCTTCCTCGCCATCCGCCTGATGCTCGGCTTCACGGAGGCGGGCTACATCCCGGCATCGATTTTTACGCTTTCAACATGGTATACGAAGCGAGAGCTGGCCAAACGCGTTGCCATATTCATGTTTGGTCAATTCGGTGGTAACGGCTTGAGCCCCCTGCTGGCATCGGGCATCCTAAAAATGGAGGGTCATCTTGGCTTGAAGGGTTGGCAGTGGCTTTTTTTGTGTAAGAGCCCTTTGACCCTGCGGGATTGGGGGCATACTAACAGAATGGTGCTTTAGTGGAGGGTCTTTTTACTCTTGCGGTGGCTTTGATGTTCATCTTCCTCCTCCCCGGCTCGCCCGACACCCCGAAACCGATAGGAAGCCCGGGCCTAGTGCGATTCTCGAGAAACCACCAGGATATCCTCCAGAAGCGCCTTGAGATTGACGATCCGGTAAAGAGACATGGTACCCAGGGTCTTGAAATCCCCTGGGCTCTGGTTTGGAAGACTGTCAGCCACTACAGGCGGTGGCCGCATTACGTGTCCACGTTTTGCGCATTCTCGACATGGTCACCATTGACGACGTATACTCCTTCAATCATCATGTGCGTACTATATCTCGCAAGAAAGAACTTTTCTAACTCGCAGCAGGGCCCTCGGCTTCGATCGGATCAGCGCCAACGCACTGGCAGCGGTCGGTGCCACTCTTGCCATGGCGGTCGTCTTTGCATTCGCAACAATGAGCGACAGAACGAACAAACGAGGAGGGACCGTCTTGACGGCGCACGTATGCTATTTGACCATCTTGGTGGTTGCCCGCAGTGTTCATCCGCATGTTGGAAAATGGTCCAGATGGGGACTGTGGACGGCCATCAACGCCTTTTCGGTTTCCTACCATCCGGCGCATAACACCTGGGTGCAGGTGAACTGCCGCGAGGCAGGGGAGCGGAGCATTGCTATTGCGTAAGTCGTGATATGCTACTTATGGATGATGATGCTGACGAAAACTAGGATGTGGGTGATGTCCGCCATCAGTGGTCTGATGGTCGGTTCTCAATATTTTAGAGCGAACGATATTCCTTTGTAAGAGCCCGAACACCAAAGAAAGTTCAACATCATCTGACAGGTGAATAGCTACGATAGGGGACTTCTTACGATGATCATCATGGTTTCGGTCGGAATGGCGTTTGCGCTGTTGCAGGAGTTGGTGTACTTCGTGCACAACCGGCGAGTAGCTCAAGGGAAGCACAAGTCTAAGGATGGTTCGGAGCCGTACGTGTACATTTACTAGACGTTGCACATGGTTAGAAGTTATGACGCAGATGACGTGTTAGGCAATGAAGGCGTTAGTAGGCTTCGGCGAAGGGATTAGTACCTGGCGTAGAATATGGCAAAAGGCTGCAGTAGCAGGCATAGATATTATGGCAATGACCAAAACTATTATCCAGAATGGAGATTCGGAATGTACAGGTTCTCCTTCATCCATATACAAACATCAGTGACTATGATCGTGACGGTCAATGTGCCCATCAAAACGCTTACGCAGCTTGGATTTGACTTGGGTCCAGCCAGTGCCGTTGGCCCGGAGTAGGGTTGTGATCTCGTTCATGTCGATGTCAAGGACCTTCTCGATATACCTGGGCAGCTGGGTGTTATCCCAATTACCAGCCATGTCGGCCCTGATTGCGCGACCGTTATCGCCGGCACCATAGCCGTACAGAGTGACATCCGTAGCCGTATGTCCGCCCGTGGACCAGTGAACACCAGACCTGCTAGAGAGCAGCCGTCCAAGATCAGAACTCAGATCGCTCGATTCGAGGAGAGTATTGATCTCGGCATCTTTGGCATCGGCAAGACCATACTCGGGCAAGATCTCGCTGATGAGGAAAGACTTCTTGTCAGAGCCGGTGTATGCTTCCCAAAGCTTCATGAGAGCTTGAGTGGAGGCGTTAACATTGGCCATGGGAAGAGGGTTAGAGCCGTTTAGCGTAAGACCACCACACTCGTGGTCCGCGGCCGACATGAGCATCGTGTCGGGGTGCGTGTCGATCCATTCCCGGACGAAGCCCATAACCTCGTTGTAGTGCACGGTGTCGAAGAGGTGGGCGGCGGGGTCGTTGGCGTGGCCGGCATGATCGATACGGGAGGCTTCGATCATCAGGAAGTATCCCACGTCTTGAGAACCTTGTGCGAGGGAGTTGAGAGCGGTCTCGACCATTTCGAGAAGAGAGGGCTCTTTCTCGGGTTGACGAGATCTGTCAATCTCGTACATCATGTGGTCTGGAAATGTCAGCCTCGTCAGGAGCCACGTCAGGAGCCACGTCAGGTGATCCTACCATCGTTGAACAGGCCAATGTAGGGGATGCCGATGTCGCCAAGACCCTTGTTTAGAGCATCAAAAGCAGGACGATCCTGCATGATGTGGTATCCGTTCTCCTTGGCGAACCCAAAAAGATCGATTTCATCTTCGCGGCAGGAGGTCGAGTCTGATTGCGGCTTAAAGAAGCATCGACCTCCTCCAAGCAGAACATCGACGGCCGGGCCGAGCGGGTGATTGTACCCTATTTCATGCTCCGCAATCTTTTCGTAGGAGCCCCGATTGGCAACATGAGCGGCATAGCCTGATTTGTTTAGTCTCGAACTTCGCCCCAAGAATGGGAGAACAGACTTGCGGGGGTGGCATGGGTGATGGTGCTTGTAACGACCAAGCCGGTCTTCATGCCCGCGAACTTGGCAGCCTCAAGGATGGATCCAACGGGCTTGCCGTCAGGATCGACGCCGATGGCTGGTTGTTGTCAGGCTCTGCCCTTCGACGATGATTATGATTCAACCCACCAGAGTTGTAAGTCTTCACGCCACAGGCAAAAGCAGTCCCGGAGGCTGCAGAGTCTGTAATCAAGTTATCGCTAGATTGGGTGCGGACATTCCCAATCACCTCAATGATGTCGTCAGTGGGAGAATTCGTGATGATGGGTTCGCCCTTACCAGCTTGTCTGCTGCCAGTTGTATGCTTACTGGAGCTCCCTCGTTCTGGCCGTTCTGCATCAAGGAAACGTAGTCTCTAGCCATGGTTTGAGATGCCGGCCCATATCCATCGGGAACGATGTAGATGAAGTTCTTCACATCCACGGCAAATGCGGCATTTGCCAGCGCGAAAAGAGAAAGCGGAGGTGTACGCATCTTGACAATTGACCAGTGAATGTGCAATTTGGAAAGATGCAGAGTGCGAAGAAATTTCTCGCGACAAGGAGGGGAAACGAGGACCTCGGGGTGGTCGCCAGAACCAATTTCCTCTCAAGGTGATGGCTAAATGATTCGGCCATATATGTACTCGACTCTGAACATCTTGGCTTCATTTCATGCAATGCAACGCACATCAATATTTCGACCGAATGCAGTCCGCCAGCGATGCAGGCTCTCTTGGCATGACGGATCACATTCAATGGTGGCAGATGATTTGAGTGTGAGGACGCACTAGTCTTCTACCACCACTGTGAGGAATTTCCAAGACGTCGGTAACGGAATTGAGGCCGGCCTTTGCTGAATGTCTCGCAGAAAGATGACAATGGATTGTCCCGTCACCTGTTGCAGATCATCAGCGATGCACTTCGGGATGCCAAGCCGCTTCCTAGCGGAGGTGAGGCTTGGCGGATGGAGAAATGATGGACTAGCCCCCAATGGACGCCACCCAATGTGCAACGTGCCCACGGGAGCGTTGGCAAGGAAGCATATTTCGACGTCCTTGATGGTGTTTCCCCCTCGCTTGGGCCTTGGCTGGGTGGTCAAGAGGGGAAGGTGGCACGACTGCTGCAGCTGCTGCAGAGGCCACGTGCCTTGGCCAATCATACTCTGACAAGACATTGGAAGGTGAGAGATTTCTCATATTGCGGCAATGAGTTATTCTGCTGGTTTTGATGAAGTTGGGTCCGGTCGGGGCGCTGAAATCGGACTTGCGTTAGGCTCAAGGTCGCTAACCCAAAGGATCTGACAGTGCCGACAGTGACGGCCGAGACGCCGCTGCAGTGCTCAAGAAATTTCTTCACGGCGTCTAGGCAAAGCGCCGATGGGTCAACACTGGCACCAAATGCGCTCATTTCGCCGTGCTCAAGCGGATGGACGTGTGGGTGAGTACCTAGCAGCAATAAACGCATATGCTTCAACGGACAGGTGTCCCAGTGTCGTGCGTAGCGCCGATCCACATGCTGATTTCGGCCAGGACCTGTTGTGTAATTGGCCAGCCCGTGTATTTCAGCGGCTCTTCGCCCGCCAACAGGCATTGCGTCCCAGTCAGAGTAAGGTAAGATAGAAAGAAGGTCGACGCTCATTCAAGTTTTCTCTAGCAGGCTCGCATCAATTGTACGAGTGTCTGTCGACAATTTGATCTGAACAGGAGCATGCAGACATGTGGTGCTCTTCTCTTTATGGCACCCAGATGGACTGGGCTCCGTCAACCCCCCTGGCCGCCTGTCCCGTGTGGTGCAAGCGCTGTGGCATTCATTGGCTCGCAGCTCTCGGGAACGCAGCAGGGATCGGGGCTGCCAATAATAACTTCCCGCGCGTCTGCAGTCGACCCGACAAGAAACACAGTCCCATTTCTCCCCAAGAACACTTCGTTTTTTCTTCTCGTATTTGCCAGAGGCGCTTAACCAAACACGCTTTTCGAAGTCGCAATGACGGCACCTCATCTGCAGCTCAACCCTGGCCACCAGATCGAGAGCAGCGCGACGGATTGGACGAAAATCCCCCAAGCTGCTGGGGCTCATTAAAACTGCTCCATTCGCCTTGCCAATTCGCGATGGTCTGTTTCGAATGGCTTCACAGCCCGGCTGCTCGAATGGGCCACGACAGGCCCAGAAGTCTGGGCCCCGGAGAGGCTGTTTGCTGTCCATGCCAGTCATACAAGACGGGGCTGCCCCTCGCCTCAAACCAGTGTTCGAGACTCCGTCATCAGCCTTCTTCGAGTACCCTCTAGTCATATTGACGCCTGCCCTTCGCTCTTTTCCTTCTGTCCTTACTCACTTTCCTTGTGTTTTGTCTTTCATTCTTTCTCCACGTCCTCTCCTGCTTTGTTGTCTCGCATTCTGTTTCTGATCTGCGCTGATCATCATCTTTATTCTTCCGCAAGGCCCCTCTCTCTTTTGTCCAGCGCGGTGCATCCCATTGTGGATATCATTTACTCATAATACCTCTTCTCGACGAAGAGACATACCCACTGGTCGACTTTCACTCAATCCCCACAATGCTTTCCAGTATTCGCATAGCAGACGTCTTGCTCCTCCTCCTGTTATCTCAGACTACGCAGGCTGGTCCGGTAAGACGTGCTGAGAGACTGTCAGTACATACAGCATAATCGTCGAACTTCACTAACATCAGTCGCAGTTTCGGAAGGGGCTGGAACTCTACCACCTCAGTCAGTGTCGCCTCTAGTACACCAGAGTCAACGTACGTCCCCAAAATCTCCTTCGACGATCCTTACTCACACGAACGCAGACATCTTTCCACCTCTGCCGCTGCAGTAACGGCAAAGGAGGAGGATGATGGATCTACACCAAGTCCTGTCTTTAGCACCATCGACGACACGAAAAGCACACCGGCTGCCACACGAGGCCCCTCAACGACAGCTGTACGGTCGTCGAGCACAGCAGTCTTCCTCCCTCCTCCTCTGAGCACGATATCAGTACCGTCAAAAACATTAGGCGGTGCTTCCACGACCACTGAAGCCACTCTGCCTCCCATGTTTAGCTCTGTCACTCTGCCTCCGTATCCTACAACAGGCCTCCGAAACGGGTCGGCCCTCCTGCCAGCAAGCAGTCTGACTGAAACCCCTACCGGGCCGGCCACGACGGCCGCCGGTCAAGAGAGCGCCTCGCGAGGATCTCCCAATGGGATGCAGTCGTCTTTGTCCTTTGCGTTCCCTGTCCCTGGCGAGACGAAAACGACCACCGTCCAGCCTGTCGCATCATCAACTTCTCTCGTGCTCAGCACCACCGCAAAGGCTGAAGCTTCATCTACGCCCGCCCCCACCTCCCAAGATATCCCGGCTTCATCGACAACGCCACTGCAGACCATACACCCATCATCGACAACTCTCAAGGTCACAGGCTCCCCCAACGTCGGCGTCCCCACCATCGAGACCTCGCTTCCCGCCGCCACATCGACTATCTCCCCAGAGGTCGCAGCCAGAAACCTCGCCAACGCCAAGTCTTTCAATGCTCTCTTCGCCACCCTCACCGAGCAGTCCTCTTGTAGCAACGGCCAAGTCGCCTGCGTCAAAGGCAACATCGGGAAATGTGGCTCCGACGGCGCCTTCGACATCGTGAGCTGCGGTAATGACCAGTCATGCTTCGCCCTACCTATGAACACAACGGAGGGCGTCGTCGTCGGCTGCTACAACCCTACCGTCGCGAGCAATATTCTCGGAGAGGCTGTTTCTGCCCCGGGATCCTCTGCAAGTGGCGCAGTATCAGAGGTCACAATGACTGTTACGCCAGTCGTCACCGCCACGTCCACAATCCAGGTGACTCCGCCGAGCAGCCCAGAGACCACAAGCCCAGCGGTCCCAATTGCCACCGCCACGTCTACGGTCCTTGTCGCCCCGCCTGAGGAGACTTCCTCGCCGGGCTTCACCACGACCGTCGTCGTTACGAGGACGGTTGAGCCCGACCCAGCACCAACTAACACAGAACGAGAGAGCACGACGACTGCAGAGGAGCCAACGACACTTTCGACCTCCACCCGTCGTCGCACACGCAGCTCAACATCCGTAAAGACATCTGCACCACCTGCGACCACCACTGTCACCGTCACCGGCACACTGACATTTGACCCGATCCCATCCACCGTCCCGACGGTCCTCCCGACGGCGCCCGCGGCGAAGGACAGCCCCGATGCTTTTGGGTTCGTCATAACAGTCACGGAGAAGGAGACCGTGACGGCAACGGTCACAGTGAAGGAGACGGAGACAGTTACCGTCACAAAGAGCCAGTGAGAGAGCTGAGCCCATTCGAGAACGAACTAGAAAGAAACATTATTAATATCCTGTGCTTTGTATCTCTTGTCAACTACGTAATCTAGGTTGGGAAAATAGCGTTGTTTTTAGACAGTATATCGCAATCAATTCAAAACATGTCACAGACGAGAAGGATCACACAAGAAGCAAGCGTGGTGAAGTGTTTATCTATGCTATGCAACTGGTTTTCGTTGCTTCTGGCATCTCGTACGCAATGCAGATCCATGAAAGCCTCTCTATATGCCGCTCTAGTGCAATTCCGCCTGCGCTCTGCGTTCCTCTGTAGGTTCTCCAATCGGGTATCTCGAATCAGAAAATCATCTCCCTAAGCCTGTCTGTCCAGATGCTTTGTCCTTCTCTAGCCCAAAACGCCATTCATAGCCCTTTGCTGCGTATCACTCGCCGTTTGCACTGGTCTTAGCCATCTTGGTCACAAACAACTGCACTTCCAAAGTGCTCTCGAGGGGCCGCTTCGGTGGACGGGAAGAGTCCAGAGCATCGGCACCAGCACTAGGGGTACTCCTAGAACTTGGCCCAGGCGGTGTGTTCAGTTGTGCGATATCCATGTCGTTAAGTATCGGCTGTTGGCCCGGCGTAGGGTCAGCCTCATCCCCATCGACCAGAGAGCCGAGCCAGGCTTCTCGAAAAGACAATCCCAAAGCCAGAGACACCTCTCTCGCGACACTGTTTCCGACTACTCTCCACTGATCTTTCGGTTGTCCCAGAATTACTTCGTGGTCCAAGAACCCTTGGGCGCGCCGAGCTTCCATGACCGTCAAAATCCGATTCTGATTCCAGTGCAGAATCCTACCGATTCGAGCGTCTGCCGGAGAAGGTACTGTTGTCACCGTTTGCATGACTTGTTGGGGGAAACACCTGCTCCACGCACGCGAAGACGCCTGTGTGACCCTCAAGCCCGCAGCAGGAAAAAGATTTCTCTCTGCCTTCGTCATGATCCCGCGACCCTTGTTCCAAGTGGTTGTGAAGTTCATGCCATAGGGGTGGGTTGGTATGGCGCTCAGTTGGTTCCGGAGATACTTTGTGTAACCATGTGCAAGACGGTGGTCTGGGAAGGGAATGCAGATATCAACCTTGGCATCGATGATATCAGGTAGATCCGCAGTTGCGTCTGCGGCTCCAACAAACTTGAATGGTGTGGGCATCACCAGCCGCTCGCCCATCGGCTCGTCGTTAGGCAACTTGCCAAGGGTTTTGGAACGAAAGACTGGCTGATAGTGCGAATGCGAATGAAGAGGTAGTTCCGGGAGTTTGTGGCCCGGAGCTGCAAAGCATAGGAACACACGACTTCGGCTCTGTGGCGAGCCGTAGGACCATGCGTCTAATAAGAAGAAGTGCGTCTGATACCCAAGCCCAACCAAGGCACAGATCAGTTGGCAGAACACGTCTTCGTTCTTTTCCCGGCGTGGTTGCACGATCTCCAGGACGTTCTCCAGTAAGCCGTATCTAGGTCGGTAGGTATCGATAAAAGAAGCAAAAGCGGCAACAAGTGACTGGTTCTTGCGTTGCTCAGGGGTAGCCTTGTCGACGGTGAGGCGAGAGAAGCCGGGACATGGGCTACCAGCAGATACGAAATCCACTGTACCAATCTTCGGAACTTTATCGCTGAACTTGCCTTCTAACGCAAGTCGCTGCAGATCGTCAATAGAACCAGCGAAAGGATGTACCTCGCCCAGGGCATTTGCCATGTACGTGTGCATAGCACGTACGTTGATGTCGTTTGCCCACTTCATCTCGATAGCCCCTCCTTCCTCGAGGCCGCGTCCAAAATTGCCGCCTCCGCAAAAGAGGTCGACGCCTCGAAGCTTATGCATAGGCCTCGAGGGGTCGAATCCTTGTCTCAGGGTCGGGGGGCCATCAGTCAGAGGAGAGATCTGGCCTAAGGGATCCAATCTGTGCGTGATGAAAAACGCGTTGGCTGTACCGTTCCGGTCGTAGGGAGGCAATAATGGCTCGTCGTGTCTGAAGAAACGCACAAGACACCTGCCGTAGATGCGATCAGCATCGATCGAAGTCGTCTCGTTGCTGTAGACAAGCTCGTTCCGGGGTGCATTCGTGTTAGGTTCCAGTTGGCTTCTACGAAACAGACGTCTAAGAACGACCATGTTCTCCTCGTCAGGACCTGAGACTAGCTCATAAGGCTCAGCTAGGTCGTCATGATTCTCAGGACTGATGAGAAGACTATCGCCGACTTTATGGGCGAAAGCCTCAGTTTGGTGGTTGCAACGCAGGTGGCTCTGCTGAAAGTAACCCATCGGTGTGTCGTCGGCTTAGTGAGGTATGTTTGCCGGCAGAAAAACTCCGCATTCGTGTCTGCAGCGCCTCCCCAGTGAATATCATGGATAGAGAGAACCTCGCTCTCTTTGATCTTAGGAAATCCATCCCCACATGAACAGTGGTCTGAGAGAAACAGCTCATTATTCCAAGGATACTTCATAGAACCACATAGGGTATCCACGGGTCTGTATAGCCAAATGACATCGAAACACCGCTTGTTGTCCCTCAACTTGTGGACTTTCTGGACCAATCCAAACCACCGGTCTACATCATCAAACCCAGCAGCAACCTCTCTGGCCCAGTGAGAGCCAGCGTCATCGTCCCTTGTCGTAGAAATGACATCGCCAACACAAACCTCTCTGGTAACTTTCTCGTGGGCTCGGTGGGCAGCTGTGTGGGGGCTAGGCGACGACTCCAACTTATAAGCACTTGTAAGATTGCAGCGCAACTTCTCGGCTCGGGGGCTCGGGACCATAGCCTCCATCATCATACCACACGGCAGATGATTGAAGAGCTGATATGTATAAGGTGTGACGATAGTCTTATCGATCTGGGCTGCTTTGCCTGGTGCTGGGGAGGACGCGCCGCTGGTTGGGGTTGATGGTGTCTTCTTTGAAGTGTCTGGGTAGGCGGTGTAGTCGCGAATCTCTTTCCACATGTAGATGGATTTGGTCTTATGCCAATCGAGAAGGCCATATACCTCCTTGTAGATAAAGTCCAGGTTAGCCACAATTGCTGTGCGGAAGTCGTTCCCTGGTAGCTGTTGTCGCCAGTGAGTGAATGCCTCAGAAGCGCCGTGATGCTTTGAAAGCCATGCACTGAAATCAGATCGGAACTCTCTGAACAACACGCGACGTCCAGCATCTACCGCAGCAGAGAGGTAGTCGGCGACATGCTTGGCAAGATCTGCTACCCACATGAAACCCATATGAAATCTTCTGTACTCTGGCGAAGGGTTTTTTAGACGGTAGTAAACGTCCTCCTTGCCTCGATCAGCAGCCTTGGTATTCATCTTTGACCGAATCCATATCTCCCGACCAACGGTGCTCTCAGACAGGCCATAGTTTCCGATGGGTAGCTCTTCGAAGGGGACTTGGCGCACAAAGTACCGAGCATCGCCAATTGACAAGACGCCGTCCACGTACATGACTGTACAGCCAGGTTTGATTGAGAGGTGTTGGAGTGGTCGCATCTCTGCTGGATATCGCATCTTCTCGTAGGCTTCGGTGAGCCCACCCATATACGGTTCGGTATATACGGTGAATTGGTCGAGTTCAAAGTCTACGAAGTCGTCCCCTCCTTCACTTGTTCGCCGATGCTCCTCTAGCAACTTTTGGACGGCCGTGAACTCCCGATCAACCGGAGCAGGGAGCTCCTGGCCCTGGTAAAGGTACCGCGGCGAGATAAGAGTGCTTGGCGGGAGGTCGATGGAGATGTTTGTGACCGGCTGAAAATCTGGCGGCAGGAAGACGGTCTGCGTGTCCCTATGAGACTCTTGCAGCACAGGCGCGTCATCCAACGGGTTAGCGACAGCCGTGTTCTTTAAGACTTGCAGGATCTCGCGGTTCTCGATCTTAGCGAGATCATCGGCGGCTTCCCAGTCTTGGCCTTCATCGTAATCCGCACCCAACAGGTTACCAAGCTCGTCCTCGTAGTCTTCAATGGGACCTGCATTAGGTGAGAAACTGCCCAAGACATGATGAAAGGAAGGGGCTGACCTGGCATGGTGACTGCTCATTCTTACCATTCGGTAAGCGTTGCTCAGAAAGTAAGCGCAACACGCGCACGCGGCAGGCGCTGGCGCTGGCGCGTTGTGTGCTGTAGACGTTGTGAAAATGTGCGGGGAATTGTGTTCGTTAGCGGGATGAGACTCGGGCATGCGTTGGTTTTGTGAGCGGTTGGGTCCAGGCGCGCCTCAAAGAGTCAAAGCTGTCGGCGCCCTGTTGACGATACGAAGTTGAGGGTGAGGTGAGAAGTGAATGTTTTAAAAACAGGGAGGATCGGGCAAAGGGAAAAGACCCGATCTCGCCTGCTCTGGTGCAGATGCCTTGTGCAAGTGCGGTGGCCCGGAAAGACAAGAAGAAAAAAAGCTGAAGCCCAATTGTTGCACAACAACTTGACTCGTCGAAGTTAATGTGCTTTTTGTTTGGTATGCGTAGACTGCCTGTGTTGACATTGAAGAATAATTGCGGAGAAGACGGCCAATCCCGCCTTGCGATTGACAGATTTGGCAAGCGCGACCCTGCTGTGGAGTTTGCGCAGCGTTCCTGCAGCAGGATTGGCCAATAAGATAAGGCCTGCTCACCCGCTGTGCTGCAGTAACTCTACCGGCTAGGCTGGCCTAAGGTACCTACGTAGTAGGTAAGGTAGTAGGTAAGACACAGGTCTAGAGCCGAGGTGGTGATGCAAAATCAAGTTGTTGTGGGTTGTGACCGATATCCGGCCATGCAACGTATGTTTAATAGAAATAGAGATTGGCATGGGAGTTCAGCCAAAAATCGATTGAGTTGGGTATCTTTGGTTCATATATCCTTCCTTACTTCTTCCCGGCGTTCTCTTGTGCCTGCTCCTCCTCCTTCCATTCCAACACAATCCGCCTCAGCTCAAAGATGACTTCTACTGCAATGAGGATGATGATGATCCACTCCAGTCTTGTGCTGTGCTGCTCACTGGACATCTCTCGTAGCACGCTCGCAATCTCCTGTGCATAGTCCATCTTCTGGTTCAACGTTCGAATCCGCACATTTACGTCAAGCGCTCGTCCGACCTGCTCGTAGTACCCTTCTAGACCTAGTTCAGCACGGCTGTCCCAGAAGATGTCCGGGAGGGAGTCTGTCAGCTCCGAGTAGTGGTTGAGCCGCGCGCGCAGACTCAACAACTCGCCCGTCTTCTGCAAGATGAATTTTCTACCAAGAGGTAGCCCAGAGCCCTTTGACAGCAGCGACGGGATTTTCCTGGTACTCTCAAAGTATGCCGTCAAGGCTGTTTCGAGAACAGCCAGCTTGGTGCTCCTCGCTAACCCAGAAGAGAAGGCAATCTTGGCCAGCGTCGTGTCCAGTCTATCGCCATCCCTCTCTTCAAGCTTCGTCCCAAGTACCACAATGTCACCCTTCATGCCGCTCGTTTCCCTCGACGAGTCGGCAACATACTCCAGGTCCTCAACCTCCCGCAGAGCCGGCTTTAACGGCGTTTCCGCCGCGCCGAGCAATTGTTTAGTGACGACATCAGGAGGCAGCGCCCAGGTCACGATCGTTCCAGAAGGGAATACAAAGATGTCGCCTCCATTTACACCGCGGGCATGTACAACCTCGCTTGCCTCGAATCCGCTGTGGTCTGGGTCGATATCGAACCCATGCGCCCGTAATGTATCTAGCACCAACCCCATATCGAAAGACTCGGATACGCAGACGGCGCTGATCAGGGTCGAGGCAGATGATTCGACGGACTCTCCAGATAGGGCGCCACCACTGCGTTGCGCTGGCCGTTGAGCGATGATGGCCACCCGACGTAGAGAGTTCTTTGCGCCGGCAGAACGAACGCCTTTGCGCTTCGGAGGCGTGGGCAGTGATAATTCTCCATTTTCAGGTTTCGGCTGCCTCGGAGACGGTTCGCCAGTGCTCTGGGAAAGGTAGACGTTGGAAGTAAAAAAGTTGCGCTTTCGAGGTTGGCTTGTTGAAGTCGTTAGGTGGAAGTATCGCTGCGGGCGGGGCGTGAAACGTGCGGTGTGGAAGCCACGGTTGAGGTACGAAGCTATGGTGAGATGGCATGGCCGCATTTTGAGACTTTTGACGCCATTGAACGGGCTTTTCAACACCCAAGACACACAATGATCGGTCGTGGCTTGGGAGAGGACAGTCCTCAAAGTCAGAGCTGCCGTTAACTGCCGATGCGGGTGGTTATCTTATCAGCACGTGATCACAAAAGTTCGTCCCGCGGCGACGCAGCGACATATCGGCATCAACAACCTCTTTCGGCCTACTTGCCAACCAGGCTCACTGCATCTCAATCGTGGGATTTCTCAAGCCTGTCAGCGAAGATGGGGCAATGCGGCTGCCTCCCATCTCAAGATCATACCCTTTTGTCCTGACGAAGGGCCGATGGTCATCGGTTCCTACCTGGCGAGCTGTGGGTGTTCCCAAGAAGCTTCCCCTGCCATAGCTAACAAGACTTAGCACCTCTGCCGACGCCATGACTTCCGATCCAGCCAGACCGCCGCCGTCAGCCAAGTTCCCCAAACTGAGCGTATAATACAACAAGGCGATCACCACCAACGCTCATTAGAGTCGCTCTACAAGCCCATCGTTGCCGGCGAGCGCTCATTTTCCCAAGAACTGCTCCTCGCCGGCGCCCTCGAACTGTACCGTAACCCGAACCAAACCCTGTCCGACGCACAACTAGCCGACCTTCTCCTTCTGGCCTCTTTAAGGCAATCTTCGCTCAGCATCATCACGGCCCAGCTAGTCCTGCGACAAATTCCCAAACTTGACCCGCGCATCCATGCCCGCTTGTACAGCCCCGACTGGGAGGCTATGTCCAAGCTCGTGGAACGTAGGGGGTATGTCGTTGGAGAAGTCACACACTGGACAAAAATACTCGTAGTCGAAGATGCGGACGAGAGAGTACGAGACTTTCTGGCCAAGGAGCATCACAAACCGCTGTTTGTTCTTTTCTACCTGCTCAGCAGTAGGCCGTATTTCTCGGATCGAGAGTCCCTCTGGGGGCTTTTGGAGTACTGCAAAGAATGGTACTCCGGAAAACAGCAGAAAAGCCCTGGCACACCAGACTCTCACGAGCTGGGAATGCATTTTGCCCTGTTCTGTATCTTGCTTCAGAAGCTAGGCTATCACGCGGCCAGGCTCCAGCCCGACATTCTACCCGAAATAGCTAATTTAGCAGTATCCTACATCAGTAGTCTTCCATTGACAAAATCACGCACAAGGCAGGTGCGCCAGGATAAGACCTACAATATGCAGTGTCGCGTTTTCAATGCCGCCTTACAAGCTGTCTCCGAGCCCGCAGCGGAAAAGCCATACGACCGCGCGACTTGCAACTGGAAAGCCATCACAGCATTGTTGTCTCTGTCTTCCGGCCTGCCACGGCCTTTGATCATTGAGCGCCAGAGCTACCGGGCAATCCGGCAAATCCTGCTCATGCTACCAAAGACCGTCACCGAACGGGACACGGCCAGTGCCCTTGCCAGCTCGTGGCCTCCCTATCGAATCTTGCGAGATGGCATGGAAGAAAAGGCCAACGCTGAGGACTATTTGAGCAGAGTCGTCAAGGCCGGCATGATGATGCAAGAAGCCGGCTACGCCAAACAACCAGTAGACAACGTCACCGATATCCTAGGTGGCAGAGCCCCAGATGGTTCGCCTACCGTCCAGACCAGAGCCAATTACCCTCGCCGTATCCACTACGATCAAGCAGCTTGGGCAGCACTTATTCGGACCACTCGGAACTCGCAGGAGGCATGGGCTATATTCAAGAACCCTCCAGAGGCCAACATGGAACCCAACTGGCAAGTATACTGGGAGCTGATTGTCAAGATCGCCGCCAAGCCAGCTGATCTGGATCACAACAACCTGCCAGGTGACGGCCGAGAAGTTTCTCCGTTCGACGACAGGAACCTTACCGATTTCGAAAAAGCTAGAGTACGCCCGCCCACTATACGTGCTCTGACGCACGAGATGTTCAAGATGGGCATTGTCATCAAAGGCAAAAAACTAGCTTTTCTCATTAGGACAGCAGAAACCATTCCCCATGCGATGGATTACATCGATTACAGCGGTATATCCGGCGGTTTCAAAAGGGATATCCGACGATGCATGGAGACTCTCACGGACCTTCCACCATCTCTGCTGAGCACGCCTCCTCTGGACATTCTCCATGCGTGTATTGAATTGCTCTGTAAACTGCAGCCAAATCGCACGCAAGGCCAGACCAAGTTATATCCGAAACACTTTCTCCGCATACGGTATGCGTTCCGCCTCGCTCAGCAAGGATGGATCTCGACAAAGCACAGCAGCAGAGCGCCCTGGGAGTCGATATTAGTTGCCCTTGCGCGACCCAATATCATGCTCAGTGCCGTCAAGACCAAAACGAACGGCTTAGAGGTGCTTCTGTTGGCTACAGAGGTCATGGAGAGGGCGGAATCTCACAGCGGTTTGAGCTTGTTAATGTTCCATTCGTATGCTCGAGCGATGCTCAAGGCTGCGTGCTCGGGGCTATTGCCTCTGAGGAACAGTCGCAGAGAGAATAACCGCGAGAGCCAAAACTTCTTGTCATTGTATAGTCTCCACAGCACTCCCGCCAAGGCACCGAAACTCGTCTCCAACAAAGACCGCCAGTGTTGGAAGACGGCTCTGTCTCCCATCTTCCAAGAACGAAGCTGCAATACAGCTGATACACCATACGAGGTTATGTGCGACGCAACGAGGAAACTTAAGAGCGCATGGAGGGCACTCTCGACCACTGGTCCAATTGCCAAGCCAAAGGTGAACCGGCTCGTCACAGCGTCTCACATCAACAACTATATGCGCACGCTAGCCTTTGTCGGCGACTACGAAGAGATGCTGTTGCTCCTTCAATGGGTAACCAACGAGTGGTTGCCCGCGGTGACGACGGCGTTAGGCGGTCTGTCACTTGCCGATATGGAGCGTCTGGAAAGGGCAGTACGAGCGTTCCGGGCGTTCGCCGAGCCCATGCTAGGCAATGAGGTTGTAAAG